GACACTGTGCCTCACAACAAACTTCTCCACAAGATCGAGTCCTATGGAATACGAGTAGCAACACTCAAGTGGATCACAAACTTTCTTACGCAGCGGAAGATGAGAGTCATAGTTGAAGGTGAGCGATCCCGGCAGGTTGACGTAGCCTCCGGCGTCCCACAAGGCACACTACTCGGGCCTCTACTATTTCTCTGCCATATCAATGACCTCCCGGATAGAGTGAAATCTAATATTCGTCTTTTTGCCGATGACTGTCTGATATATCGTGCCATCAACTCAATGACAGATCATATACAACTCCAAAACGCACATCAACAACATTTGCAGAAAAGCCAACTCAACACTAGGATTTCTCCGCAGGAACCTAAGACACTGTCCTAGGCCATGCAGGAATAACGCCTATATTGCACTAGTCCGATCCAAACTTGAGTACGGAAGCGTCGTCTGGGACCCCTACTTAATAGGAGACATCGACCGCTTGCAGAGAATCCAAAGATCAGCAGCACGATTTATAACGGGCGACTATAAATCCAGGCAGGAAGGATGCGTCACTAATATGCTCAATTAAATGGAAGTGCAACCACTTGAGAAACGCCGTCACCAGCGTTTGACGTTCCTATTTAAGGTGGTTGAAGGGCACGAACCAGCCATTAACATTGATTACTACCTCAAGGCTAAGCGACTTAAGAGAACTATTCGGGCTAAACAATTTGAAACCTATGTTTAAACTAACATCGTAGAAAACTCAGTGTGTAACAACAACAAGTGCTTCCAGCCAATTAGTGCTAAAAGTGACATATTCAAATACTCATACTAAGTACGAACTGTATACGACTGGAATAAACTCAGTGATGATACAGTGAACTCAGAGTCAATCGAAGTATTCAATTCTAAACTAGAAAACATTAACTAGCGCACTCCATCCGTCGTGTAAAAGCCAGTAACTGGCATCTACGACTATTCATTCAGATTCAGAAACATTGTGAACGATTTCTACTGCGGAATACGATTAATTCATATCGAAATAGGCCTACAAATGAGGTGTCATTTACGTGATTTGATAATATTAAAAAATAAATTATTCACGAACTTATTGTCAGCACTTCCGTTGAGCGGGAATTCGACACAGAAGTAAATAAAGATGCAGTAAATACTGTTGGACTGTCAAAATCTAAGCTATAATGGCTGCCGTTGTCAAGTGTTGGTAAATGTTAACAAACAGGCTTGTTTCTAAATTTTGGATAGATTATTATTCATTTATGTTAAAATAATAAGCATTTTGAGGGTTTGGTATAGAATTTGTTACCTAAATATAATTTTTGCATGTGAAATTCTTTTCTATGGAGTACCATCTGCAACATATCATATGTTCCTATTAAACATTCAGCTGGACATTTCCACGTTCAGTTGTGGACTATCAGTGTACGTAAAGAAATATCGAATAAAATGTATTACAAAATATTTTAATTTAAAAATTAGGTAATATATATGTCCAATGTTTAATTGTCAGTGTATCTTTATGCTTCCAAGCAAAAAGTTTCGAAGGCTGAATTAAGAAGTCATAAAAATGTTAATTGAGCTGTAGTGTCATAGTACCGCCTTTCGGTGCCGTGACGATGGATAGGTAAGATTAGATAAAGAGATGACAGTTCTCTCTATAATATACTCAGCCAAATTAAAAACTTGGCACTGATGAATTTCAACAAAAAATTTTTTCTGGTAAGTCAAATAAATTTTAATGTGTTTCTAACGATAGTAAGTATTAAGAAGCCTTTAATTTCATAAAATTGTAAAGTCACGTGGATCACGTGACTTTTGAGCATATAAAGATGAAAAACCTGAAAAACACGTGCAAACACAAACTCGTGAGGTTAATCGATGCAAGTTTGCTTAAACTGAACACGCACACGTAACTTGAACTGGAAAAACAAACTAAAATTGTTATTTTCATCTTTGTTAGAAAATGCCGCGCCTTTCAAATGTAGAATGGCTACGTGCTATAGGTAGGCTCTATGCTGGTCAGTCTGTGGTCACTGTTGCAAGAGCCTTTAATTGTTCACGCCAGACAATAATTAATCTTAGAATGAGAGTGCTTCAAACTGGAACTATTGCCGGCCGCCCAAGGGCGGGAGCGCCACGTGTGACGTCACTCCAGGAAGATCAAGCAATACGATTACGTCATCTTAGAAACAGATTGGTGGAAGGGTAACTGCACAAACTGTTCGAAATCGCTTGCAGGCTGCTGGTCTTCGAGCTCGGAGGCCCTATAATGGACCAATATTGACACCTCTTCATCGCCTTAACCGACTTGTGTGGGCCACAAGACACATAAGATTTACTCAAAGACAGTGGAATTCGGTTGTCTTTAGTGTACCGCAGACGAGGTGAACGATACGCTCAAGTATGCGTCAGAGAAGTTGACCGATTTGGTGGCGGCAGCGTCATGGTTTGGGGTTCTTTTTGTGCACATGGACGTTCTCCTCTTGTTGTTGTCCAAGGGAACTTAAATGCTGTCCGGTACAGGGATCAGATTTTGCAACCTGTTCTTCTTCATGGGCCTGGACTAAAGTTTCAACAAGACAATGCTCGACCCCATACAGCAATTGCTACCCAGAATTTTTAAGAAATGCCGGTGTCCAAGTCCTGGATTGGCCGTCGCTTAGCCCCGACCTTAATCCTATTGAACACATCTGGGACGAACTGGGTCGACGTGTTCGTCAGCAAGTGAATCCACCACTGACGTTGCAGGACCTTCAACATGCTCTTGCTGAGCAGTGGCGACGTCTTCCTCGGGTAGTGTTTACTAATGTTCTGAGATCCATGAGAAGACGTTGTGTAGCATTACGAGAGGATAGAGGAGGCCACAACCGTTACTAAACACTTTATTACGATTGTTCTCCAAGTCTGTGAATTTCATTTTGGGGGGTACTGTGACATCACGAACGTTATCAATGTCAAGGACTTTCGGCGAGACGTATTCTTGCTTTCTGTTGATGTCAAGGTCGTCTGTGCACAACATAACACTAAAATAGTTGCCTTAAACCAAATATTAAAAATCTAGTCCCAAAAATCCCGAGTGTCAAGTTTTTAATTTGGCTGAGTATAGTAATTGCATTGACCTATACAATTCCACAGAGTTTTATGAATTTGAGAGATGGATCTGTGGTGTATTAAGGCGAACTCGAAAAGGTTTATTCCCATGCGCTATCATCGTTATCCGATGTTGTTACATTCAAAATTCAAACATTACAGTGTTAAAAGTTGACAATAGAAATAATGTCGATGAAAGTATACTATTCAAAAAAAGTAGGGGATATTTGATTTTTAAGTGTTATTAAAGTCACCTAATGAAACTGACGAAGAAACAAATGACAAAATGAAATGAAGTTCACATTCATCGATTTATTCCAAATGATCGTTAGACTAAGTAAGGCACAGACTGACCATTATAAGGGTAAAATGATACCCGGGGTCAAACAGCAAAGTTACCACAGCATCACAACCAAGTCAGTAACGGGTAAATCCTCCTCTGTTTGCCAAACAAGCATTGATCCGACGTGGCATACTCCTAATGAGACGTCTAAGGTCATTTTGGTCCAGATTGTCCCATTCCTGTTGCAACGCAGCAGCAAGTTCTTGGACATTGGCAGGACGTTGTTGACGTTGACGTAACCTCTGTCCAAGCATGTCCCAGACATGCTCGATGGGGGAGAGGTCGGGACTCAGTGCTGGCCAAGGTAATGTGGTGATGTTCTGTTGTTGGAGGTAACCTGTAACGATCCTGGCCCTGTGACATCTTGCGTTGTCATCCTGGAAGATGAAACGGCGGCCATGATGTCGTGCGAACGGCACAACATGGACTGCCAAGATGTTGTCCCGGTAGTACTGGCCTGTAACACGCCCTGCAACAACATGTAAAGCCGTTCTTCCAGCAACAGTGATGCCTCCCCACACCATAACAGAACCACCCCCAAATCGATCATGTCTGATGACGTTAACGTCTTGGAAGCGCTCGTTTCGACGACGCCACACCCTCCTACGTCTGTCCAAAAAATCAACAGTGAACCTTGACTCATCTGAAAACATCACATTGCTCCAGCGTCGATTATCCCAGTGTTGACGTTCCCTACACCAACGACGTCTTGCCTGAATGTGATGATCTCTCAAACAAGGGATCACGCGAAGACGTCGGGCGCGAAGGTGACCCCTATGCAGTCGATTCCGAATCGTCTGGCCACTCACTCTCACACCAATGTCTGTTTGAAGACGAGCGCTGATCTGATTTGCTGTGATGACACGATTTCTCAAGGCCAAGGTACGGATAAATCGATCCTGGGCTTGAGTTGTCGCCCTTGGTCGACCTGAGCGTGGTCTGTCCTGTACAGATTGTGTATCACGGTATCTGGACCATAGTCTGCTTATGACAGACTGAGAAACATTCATCGTCCGCGCCACAACCGCCTGTGTTGTGCCGATCTGTAGCATGCCAAGGGCACGTAACCTTTCATTTTGGGTAAGCCGACGCATATCAAAATTTGTTTTCTGGTCACTAAAACAATTAAACTGATGTTTCCACCCTGGAATTCAATGCCACAATGACTGTAACATTCAAAGTCAGAGTCGTGCAAATCTTGGGTTGGACCCCCATGATGGTCCCAAGCATCACCAGCTATTGGTGCGTTTGGGCGTCACATGTAACTGGAAATGTTTCTTCTGTTAGGTTCTATAGTGACTTTTTTCGTAGTCATTTGCATATTTTAGTATTATGCCCCCAAAATCAAATATCCCCTACTTTTTTTGAATAGTATAGAATTGATGTGTTTTTTTCCCCATAAAATTATGGGTTTCCACCACAATAATAGTTGTCTCTTTCGATTTTCTACATTTTACTCCAGATTGCACTCGGAACCCGATGCCTCTCAAAACCTAACAAAAATGAAGGTACCGTAGTTGTGTTGTTTTTTGGGGTTTTTTTGTTTTTTTATAAACACTCAACTGTATCAATTTTGTAATATTTTTTTTTTATTAAAAATTACATATTTATACATAGTTCATGCAATAATACAATAGTAGCTTTACAAATGGAAACAGCGGTTGCCAGGTAAAATACGCCCAAATTTTGCAAGAGATGGATATAGAACAACCTAAAACAAACCACGATTTTTTGTACAGAGGTTGTAATCTTTGGAAGATAAACCTATATATTTTAAGTTTCGTCAAAATTGTGACCTGGAGAGTGTGGACAGGACCGAAGACAAAATATGTCCATATGAAAATGTGGGCGTATAAAAATTACATAACACTATAAGTTGTATTGAAGATCCATATATCTTTTTGGTTTTATGATTTAAGAATGAACAAAAATATTTTAAAAATATCAGAAAAATATTAAAATAGTCAATGAATACTCATTGACACCTTCTTGTTAGGCAACAAAACACACACCCACCAGTTATGAGGCAGTAAAAAGTATGAGACGGTACAAAGATTTTGTAACAAATTAATATTATTGAAAATCAATAGTCGCGTTCGTCCTTTCAATATAAACTTCAAGAAGACAGTTAACGCAAAGTTCTTACAAAGTGGCAGATTGTAGAACTCGGCTAAAAATTAATACACACATTTACTTTAATTTCAAGAAATATTATGGATTATTGTAGTGTACTAACAAAAAATTTGAATGACAGATGGGTGGATGAAGAGGGTTTTGCGGCAATATCTAACCACATTATGATGATTTAGACTTCCAACTTATTAACAATATCATTACACATCTGGACGGAATATTCCAGGAATGTAGCTATGGCCCATAACAAAATGAACGTGTTAAAAAGTAGATGTTAACATAATCTTAAAGCAGTTCCCCTTTCAAATATGCAATTACTTTCTTTCTAATGTGGATCAGTAAAATATTTGATAAAAATTAAAACTTATAGATGTCCTAAAATCCATAGTTCTCTGGAGGTCTACAGAGGACAATTCTAAAAAAAAATCCACAGTAGATAGCAAAATATTGTATATCATGATTAAGCAGTTAAAAAAAAAGATATTAAACATATTAAAACAAGGGGGGGGGAATACCTAATTAATACATAAGTTGGGAAATCCCTTCGTTAGTTTTGATATTTTATTCTTTATTAAAAGACAGTAGGATGAGACAAAAGTTATGCAACTTATGTGATTTTATTATTCACATCTTGATTTATTAGTATAGAAATTTATTATTAGGTGTAGCGATTGATCGTTAATTTTATCTTTTGAAGTTTTTATGAGAAAAAGTGAAATTTTATATTTTTTATGATATTTTTACATTTTATGAAAAATGACCAAATTTTATGAAAATATAAATGTTTATATATTGTACGGTTCGTGATATTTGAAATCAGTAAAACATACGACAGATTTTGATAATAAAATACAGTATAAATGAATTAGAAATATGATATACATTATTTACATATTTACATTCAATAAATGGACATGAATGGGGTTATCTACCCATATTAAAATGAACAATGAAATGAAATGAAATGGAGTTTAACGTCCTACTGTTCTGCTCCTAACCTGGGCTAATGAAGACGGGCATACGCCATACAGTGTGCTATGAGGGAAATTTTGCCCGGACAGCGGCACTACGGCCTACTCTTATAAAGAATTCCAACTGCCAAGGGATCTTTTACGTGCACGCCAATGTGTACACGGGACCTCGGTTTTTCGTCTCATCCGAACGACTAGACAGCTTTCCTTGTCAGCCCCTCCGTCCTGCATCACTGACAAGGGAGAACCACGCCGGAAAATCTGGATGAACTTTCTCTGCCAATGCAGGGATCGAACACCCGACCTCCAGGCTAGCGAGCTAGCGTCTTACCCACTTAGCCACGTGATCCCTAAAATGAACAAGAAACGAAGACCATTTCATATTATATACATTGTACATAATAATTATACAGGGGAGACAAGATAAATTTTGGCTACTCTGCGATATCATATGGACTCAGACTAGCAATTATTTGCCCATTGACTTCAATGTTAAATGACTGTAACATCACAGGCTGTAGCTTTTTGCTCAACATTCCGTTGGTTCCAATCTTTATAGGCACAATGGGGACAACATTTGGCAATCTCCTCATCATAATTTTGTAGGGGGTTGACCGTTTAGATTTTTTGCTACACGGATTTGAAGTTGACAGTGCTTCAAGCACAGAGACTCAAAAAGAGGTGGAAAACCCCTCAAATATATTTCTATGAGAAGTACCTAAATGCTAACACTATGATTTAATAAAATACAAAGATCTTTCAGAGAATATTATTGCAGAAATGGTGATTATCACAGATTAAACGGTATATTGGATTATTACAGTATATATAATGGTCAAAATGATACTGTTAATAAAATTTCCACACTGCGATAAATTGATTTATTAAAATTATTGACCAGCCATAATCTGATACAAGCAGATAAACCAGACATAAATAGAAGATACAGTGCATGTAAAACAACCTCTAACAATTTGAATTTAATTTCTGTCCTTGCAATATTGCCCTCATAGTACACCGTTATTATACAAATATATATTTAGAAATATCGGCAAGTATTTGTATTGTATTTGTAAAACTGTAAGTATTTCTAGATGATAGCACAAGTTTGACTTTACCATACGACTACGTGTGTGATAATTTAAAACATTTTTATCTTCATCTATAAGTCAATGTAGAATATAAGACGAAGCCTTACTTCCGCGGAATTAAATATCGAATTGTACCTCGAAAAATACGGTATCATAATAAAGATTAACAAGCCAACAGTGAGGCTAATGTCCCCCGCCGAAATCCTCAAATAAATAGATGACACATATTAATTAATCGCACATCTATTTTTTTTCAAAAGTATCGAGCAATCAAACTGACTATCCACTATACACTAAGTTTCATCACTCTCTATCAGATAGAATCAAAGTTATCTTGCCTCAAAGCATCGACCAAGGAAATTGCTTATCTCTGCTTAGCTTTAGCTCAATATGTTAATCATTGAACTCAGTCAAGACAAACATCTACATCAAGTTTCGAGGAAAGGCGGGGGACAAATATAGTAAATATCAACAGTTTTTAAGGTATAATATTAATATACATAAAGTATTTGTCCGGCTGAGAATCTGAAATGTCCGTCCAAAAATCAGTTCAGCCTGATTGGAGCAGAAGAGTAGGACGTTAAACCAGATTTCATTTCATTCTGTTCCACGAAGACTACTCCATCTTCCTTGACATATTTGTAGAAGTATGGTACATATGATTTAACATGCTCATAGTAGATAAATCTAGAAGATTGAACACTTGCAGATTCATGAACATAATTAAAACATTCAACATATGAAACCACTTGCTATTTTTACATTTAACCATAGTTTTTAAGAACACTTAGGTACTCCATATTCGCTTTATTACAAAAAGAACAGCTTATCAGCTAAATCTAAAGATGGATCTTTATGAAGTGATTGTCCAACTAAGAAAGCTAATTTATGAGCATACTGACATGGTGCTGGTACACGAATAGTTCCCTGAAAATATAAAGTTTTAAAATGCATTTAAAATGTTTTTTAAGCATACATGTATTTTTATATCAATTTCTTAAAACAAAATATTAAAGAAATGAAAGATATGAATCAACACCCATCAGTAGCATTGGCTCTCAATAGTTCACTGAAATTTGATGAGTGAGTTTTAATTTCAATACTGTTCCTCTTTGTGACAAGTTGAACAATGTATGTTTCAATTCCAATACGATTCCACTTTGTGACAAGTTGAACAATGTATGTTTTAATTTCAATACGGTTCCTCTTTGTAACAAGTTGAACAATGTATGTTTTAATTCCAATACGGTTCCACTTTGTAACAAGTTGAACAATGTTTGTTTTAATTCCAATACGGTTCCACTTTGTGACAAGTTGAACAATGTGTGTTTTAATTTCAATATGGTTCCTCTTTGTGAAGGCTGAACAATGTGCTGACAAGATTGTAATACACCCACCCACAATTAGTTCTAAAATTGATCACAAGATAACTTTGTCATTTAGGAATCGAAAGGAACCAAGATCTTTGGGAGATAAACCTATATTTCAAGTTTCATCAAAATCTGATAAAAATTGTGACCTGTCGACTGTCCGCTGACAACGACAATAATATACGTCCACATGAAAAGAGGGTGTATAAAAAAGAACCCTGGTACATGTAAAAGCTGAGACAAAGATAAATGTGTGAGATACGAACTGTAACTAACAGTTCTAACTCTTACAACCACGATCTGTGGTTTCCGTCAAAATAAAGGGGTGAATTACTTTATGGCAGATTTAGAGAAAGTCAGTTTGTTTACTTCTTTTTGATACAATATCCACTCCCCACAAAATAATTTCAACTTACCGGCCAATTATAATAAAGATGTGTCAATTTGTAACTTAATCTTTGCATATGGTCTGGTTTTAATCCAATTTGGTCCCAGATTACATTATAATGTGTTGGAGTTACGGTTCCTTGTCGTACAGATTGGGATACCAAGAAGAAATCATACCTGAAAATGAATATCAGACATCTGAGAACCTGTTCATGATTAATCTCAACAAGATTGAGTACCATTCTCAACACAATTATGAACTTTTGGATTAAACAAATAAGATTTATAAACGAATAAAATAAATTCTTACCATTCTGGTTTAGTAACTTCAGTATCTATGCAAGTTCCTGGCATGGGATTAGCCATACCTTGTTGTCCCGCTCTAGCAAAAAATCGAGCATTAATTCTCTTCTTAACAACAACTACAGCTAACTTCGGACTGGAAAATATATTATTAGACAGTTATCACACAGATGGGTTGCCATGTAACTAAACACATGCCCACAGCAGCTGAGTCCGCCGGTCCACAAGCGTTGTCGCACATTCTTTCTTTTCCCAGTGTAATACGAGCATTTATTATACAAAACATGTAAACAGATGACAAATTTACAAGAAATCGCTGAAAATAATTAGGTTTCAAAATTTGAAGTCATCGGAAAATAAATATGGCCTCTAGAGCATCCACATGATGTTGAAAATCAATAGGTTTCTTCGCCACATGTCATCAAAAACACTGCATATAAATTTTAAGACAATCAGATAATAACTTTGTTTACAGAACATCCACAAAATTTCTGCAACATAATCAAGGGCTATAACCAGGGTTTTTAAACCGTTTTGAAATGAACCAGCCAGGGGTCGATATGTAATGTCTCATTCCCTTTAATATAACCAGACTTAAAGATGCCTTCCTGCATTTATTTTCATGATATATTTGGACTAAAAACATACTCAAAGTAATTTATCTACATGTATTACAAGTTTTCTTCAAATTACCTTTCTTTGTGGAAAAGTATATTACAATTTATATCGGTAACTTTAATCACTCATCCAATACCATCGCAGACTTTCACATATTAAGCCTTGTTTATTATTCATATACAAGAGAGAGAGAGAAATGGGGTTTAACGTCCACTTGACACAAACTAGGTCATTTCGGGACTAACATATGGTTTATTTTATTTCAATAATTCACTTGTGCATAGGGGTCTTTAGCAGTGGGAGGACCCAGAGACAACCCACGGGGTTGGACAGGCGACCCTACTCATTGTCAAGTACAACCAAGGAATCAAAACCACGCCAGTTGACTCAATGAGAGCCTTATGATACAACACGCACATGCTAACCATTCGGCCATCCACCCCCCCCCACTTCATGTCAAATTTAACGTTTTTACCACATATATATATTTTGGAGTATGGCATGGAGCTTATGTGGTTATAGAATTAAAAGCGTTGACTGGCTGATGCATGATAGCTAACTATTGTTATGCACTAGGTGATCAGTGAATTTCAAATTCGCAGTGAACTGTCTGTAATCATTGGAAACCTTTTAAAGACAAAACTGATAATAACCGATAAAGAGAATCTACAAGCAGTTGCAACACAGATGAATACAAGTTTGGTCCAAGCAACCTTATGTTACGACTGTGGAACGTTCAGGAAGTCAGCAGTCAAATTTTTAATAGGTTAAACCCTTAATTTTCAATTAAGTAAGGCCAGTTGATCTGGGAGAGAGAGAGAGAAATGAGGTTTAATGTCCACTCGAAACTAGGTCATTTTGGGACTAACATATGGTTTAATTTTATTTCAATAATTCGCTTGCGCGTAGGGCTCTTTAGCAGTGGGAGGAAATCGGAGGACCCAGAGAAAACCCACAAGGTTGGACAGGCGACCCTACTCCTTGTCACGTACAACCAGGGATTCGAAACCACGCCAGTCGACTCAATGACAGACTTTATAATACAGCGCGCGCACGCTAACCATTCAGCCATCCAACCCCCCCAGTTGATCTGGAAATAAACACCTACTCGTAATCCGCTCTCTTAATTTTATGTAATGCTTCTAATATCTGGTGAACTTCATGTTCAAATACACCAGCTAGTTGACCATCACCAACACCATCTCTATACACAATAATTCTGTTAGGTAAATTATTTTCATTAACTTCTGCATATTTCCGCAAGGCACCTGTAAAGATACATTTACTGATTACTTGTTGCTCTTAAACAACAGATTTCAGAAATAACTTTAAAGGGGCATTATCAAAGGACAATCCCTAAAATAATATGTTATTATTTTGAATATCATATTTTTTAAAAGATACGTTGCCATGCAACATAGCATACGCACACAGCAGCTAAATCGACTGAGCAATCGACAAGACTTTCACATATTTATTCTTTTGTAGGTAATTGGGGGCATTCACAAAACAATTTCATACAGATCAGATTATAATTTTCATCATTTTGAGGGTTCACATGGTTCTACAAACTGAAACAAGGGCCTTAACTCTGGAAGAAATTAATAAAAATTGTTGAAATTTGACAGGCTTTTTTATTTTACTAATTTACATACTGCATATAAATTTCAAACAATTCGGATAATAATTTTTGTTGTTTGAACATTTACAAGATTTAACAAAGTAAAATAAGGGCCATAAATCCTACATTAATTCACGAAAATTGCTGAAATTCAATAGGCATCTTCACTGAATTAATCTTAATGATGCATTTAAATTTCATACAGATCGGATGGTAACTTTTGTTCAAAAAAGTGATATTCAATAGGATTAACTTGTTTCAGTTGCATATAAACTTTTGTTGTTGGAGCGTTCACTTCACAAGGTGCAACAAAGTGTAACAAGGGCCATTACTCCAGAAGTAATTAACTGAAATTATTGAAATTAAATATAATTCTTTATCTCACTAATGTAAACTAATATACCAATTTCAAAACAATCAGATGATATATGTTCACAAGAAATTGTTGATAACAGACCAACATAAAAAAACAGGTCATAATTCTAGAAGTAATTGAAGCTAATTGCTGAAATTCAACAAGATTCTTCGTGCCACTAATTTAAATGATGCATATAAATATCATACAGATCGGATGATAACTTTTGTAGGTAGAGCATTCACAATGTTCAACAAAATGAAACAAGAGCCATAACTCCAGAAGAATTTAACAGCAATTATTGAAACTAAATAGGCTTCTTCATCTCACTAATGTAAACAACATATCAATTTCAAAACAATGAGATGATATATGTAGATTGTAGAGTGTTCAAAAGAAATTGTGGGCGACGGCAATATATGACCACATTTCCATGTGAGAGACTTCCAATCAATAGAAACAGGTAACACAAACCAATTACAGACGGTTTGATGGGATCAATTTTGACTAAGTCAAAATGATGCCTTTGATATTCAGATAAGTTAATATAAATTAATTAACATAATACAATGTCAAAAAACATTGTTTTACTCAACATTGCGTCAGTAAAATTAGTAACTTTTCCACGGATGAAGAACTAAATACAATTAGTATTTTTAATGATGAAACGATGGATAAACGATGTTTTTTTGATATTGTATTCTATTAATTATTGTATATCACATTTCCATGTGGGTGTATAAAAACCCAGCAAGATTCACCTAACAAGCGAAAATACCAACACCGACTGGTATTTTCCACAGGGGCAATTTTGAACTCTTTAAAAAAACACTAAAATTGAAAGCTAAATAAATTGTGTCAAATTTTTTCTATACCATCTATATTTGCACTTCTGCAATTCTAATTTTACTGCCAGGTTTTTTAAAGAGAGAGAGAGAAATGGGGTTTAACGTCCACAAGACACAAACTAGGTTATTTCGGGACTGACACATGGTTCAATTTTATCTTAATAATTCGCTTGCGCATAGGGTTCTTTAGCAGTGGGAGGAAAACAGAGGACCCAGAGAAAACCCATGAGGTATCTTTTTTTAAAACCAAATTACTAATGCCTACATAAAACAAAGATGCAAATATTTAATCAACGGACTTAGAATCCAACTGCTGGTCTTAAACTGTAAAATCTGTAATATATAAAACATACCACCACTTCTAGAGATTATACTTTGTTAACTTACTGGTTATGGCTGTCCTAAGTCCATCCACAAGTTCAACGTCTGTAGATTGATATGCTACCCTACTATAATACCTAGTGAAAGTCTGATTTAACGAACAAATGATTCCTGCTACCGACGCCCCTTTTTTAGCCGAATCATGATATGTATCTATACCACAAACCATGGTGCCTGAGAGCTATAGAAATAAAGAAATAAAACAAGAACAAAGTGTTAGAATAAAATAACAAAATGTCATCAATACTCTTTTATCCAAGAGCAAGATAGAAAAAAGATTAATACAAAAAACGAAGAAAGGTGACCTGTTTGGTCAACTGTTTATTAGTAATAATATCAAAACTGTTAAAACATCTGGTTATGTCAATATAGAACCCATCAGAGATCTTTGGGATATAAACATCCTAAGTTTCATCAAAATTGAATATAAATTGTGACCTTTATTTAGAGTGTCTACCAACAAATGAGAACAGACGAGTGAAGGTATAATTTGTCCCCTCGAAATGCAGGCGTATAAAAAAATAATTTTTATTCAAAGGAACGTTTTTACAATGTTCCAGTAGATATCTCTATCATGTTTAATTCTACCATGACAAACAGCACAGATTCACTACATTCTACTCCTTCCCAGTTCCAGATAGAAGTTATACCTAATGTTTTATTAAGTACATGTAATTTGATTCATATTTGTACAAAAAAACGGGGGAGCTACGGTGGCTAAGCGGGTAAGATGCTGGCTCACTAGCCTGGAGGCTCATAATCGATCCCTGCATTGGCCGAGAAGTTTCATCAGAATTTTCCGACGTGGTTCCCCCTATTAGTGGTGCAGGCGGAGGGCAGACAAGGACAGCTGTCTAGTCGATTGGACGGGACATAAACCAAGGTCCAGTGTATATATTGGTGTGCACATAAAAGATCCCTTGGCAGTTAGAATTCGATATAAAAGTAGGCCATAGTGCCACTGCCTGGGTAAAATTTCCCTCATAGCACACTGTAATGGCGCATGTCCGTCTATATATTCCCGACACTGAATCTGTCGACTTTTCCATATTAGGTGATCGAGTTCTATAGTGCCTCTATTGGTAGTAGAAAGGGATAGGTCAGTGTTAGTATCTTCAAGATTTTACATCTTCAAAGAATTTAAGTAAACGTCAAACACATCAAGGTCATTTTCTTGTAAATTTGATTTCCAAAGGTTTTATTAGTTTAATTATTTGATCATTATATTTGACAGTTTTCAGGAAATTTCTTTTCCAATGCCTTATATATTTTCAGCGAAAAATACTATTTTTGACAGAACTAAATTTTAACATTAATAAAATTAAAAAAAACAAGTGCTGAAACAAACAAGAATATTCAAAGGGTTAGTTAAAAGAACTGAATACCATGTGCTAAACTGTACATGCACAAAACTATCTCATCACTAACCAATGGCCATTATTAATTCCTAATGTTTAATCAGATTCAATTGTTGTTTAAACTGGCAATCACATCATCATCTGATAGCGATTGACGAACCATTTTAATCAACTGTTTTTGTTTAGAAATATTAGCCAACCTAACATAGGCCTGTACCAGCATCTGTACTGCTGAAAGTTGTCCGGATCAACTGTGTGTGACATCATCGCCATTGTTCCCTAAAATCGCTATAGTGTCAATTTCAATCATCTTCAGTTTAGTGTGCTACAGATAAATTCAAGAGAGAAATGGAGCTATGCCATCATAAACCTTGTCATTCTGTTTGGGTTTTTTCTATGGTCACAGGTGAAATTTAATAAGAAATTTGCCTGGGCAGAAACTATTCCATCAACACTTCATCAAATTTCAAATGTCAAGGTTCTTTAACTCACCAATGTATACACCAGTGGTTATCAGCTGATCCAAGTGATCAAGCATCACTTTCCTTGGTGGCTGAATGGCAAGAGGGAACAGGGGTTAAAAAATACAGAGTCTCTTCTCAGCCACAGCAAGATCAGAAACTGCGAAATTCTAGTTCCCATACAAACATATATAAAGATGAAGGAATAAAACCTTATCTAAGGAATTTTCAGTGCATTTAGACTTGTGAAGACTGAAACTATGGTTAACAATTTCATTTGGTCATTTTGTGAAAAAAATTTAGTTCCAATTTAAATTTTCTTATGCAGCAAAACAGTTGAAAATGTGATTTTTTTTTCCAACTACATTCTGACCAAGTCAAATTGTAAGGTTAATACAGATCATAGGAAGATAATAATATCTGATGACTACTGGAAAAAATTCAATTGAAGTTGGATTCAGTAAACTCAATGCACTACTTACTGGAATGTGAAGAGCCCAAACTTCACCACCTAATTTACAGTTGATCTGAATGGCTATTTTAGTAGATACTGACATCAACATCTGTTTTTTAGACAGAGTTCTTGCTACTACTACTTGAGATGGTACTGAAAACAAAATATATTCCTTTTAAAAAAACATAATTATCTTAAGATGTTGCCTTGCAAATACAATATCAAATAAAACTTCTTTTTTTTTCAAAAATAAATATTGTCACAGAAGTTAGCTAAATATGACTGTTCACTATATCTTTTATTTTAGGACCAAACTGTATTAATTCAACTCATCAGTTTGGTATTACATTAGCCTTAAAATAAATGAAATAAAAATGTTATGGATTTTAATAGTCTACGTTTCTGCACCGACTAGGCTAATGAAGACGGGTATACGCCATACAGTGTGCTCTGAGGGAAATTTTTCCCAAATAGTGGTGCTACAGCCTAGTCTTATACCAAATTCCAACTGCCAAATGACTATCAGGCCTTCCATCCTGCGCCATTGACAAGGGGAAACTGTGCGGAAAATGCAGAGGAACTTTCTCGGCCAACATCGTGAGCAAACCTGAGACCTCTTGGTTGGCGAGCAAACATCTGACTGACTGAGCCATTTTGGATTAATTAAGTCACTAATTAGATATAAGGTTTTATGTAATCTAATTAAAATTAGATTACAATTATGTTTCATTTGAATTTTGGGAGATTTTTATTCAACGTTGTAATTTTACCTACTCTATATCACAATTCAGAGAGTTTTATTTGTATTAGCCAAACCTACATTAACCCTAAACACAACAAAAATTATGTACCTGGATGTTCAATGCATGTACATTTTTTGATGGCATCATATCGATCTTTCTTGTTATTAGGTACAACAGCTAGAACCAACTGAGTATCTTTTGTTAAATTCTGTTTAATGGTTGACAGGAATGTCTCATTACGGTCATTTTGTAATTCATACCTGTGAATATACAATAAATTACATGTACATGTGAAACTGATGCTGTCAATAGATACTTCTAATTTACATGTGAAATCAATGCTGTCAATTAAACTACATGTGAAATCAGTGCTGTCAATATATAACTAATTACATATGAAATCAATGCTGTCAATTTAATTACATGTGAAATCAGTGCTGTCAATATATAACTAATTACATATGAAATCAGTGCTGTCAATAAATTACATGCGCAATCAATCCTGCCAAATGAAATCGGATCATCTATGATGTTGCAAACCCAAATAAAAATTGGAGGGGGGGTGGGTTCTTCGAAATTTATTGATGTGCAGAGTGCAAGGTATGGGGTATGTCTATTCCATATTTGTAATTTAGGACTGTGGTCAGTTTATGACGTAAACCATATTGGAGTGTGGGCACTATAAAAGAGAGTGGGGGATAGTATTCGGCAGAAATCACACCGACTTTCATATCAGCCATATACTTTTTTGAGAATGCGGAAGATTTGTAACTAACGCCAAGAGTATTTTTTACAATAAAACACAGAAAAAGAACCTGAACTGTAGTTATAATTTTTGTCATGGAATTGAAGGCAACGTGAAGCTTAAAGATCGAATAGTACTACACACACTTGAACTATTTTCCTTGTTCAAATCCCCAACTCTTCCATAAATTTCTGGATTACCATCAACTATTTGACTTTAGAGAAATGGCAACTCACATTCTGGGTGATTGAATCCTCATTCCCATTGGACCACCAACACGATTTAATGTCTGCACTAAGTCCTGAGCAGCACCACTATCCCTCCTTGTTGACATCACAATCCAGTTATTCAAATCAACAGTATTTTTTAATTTCTTTCCTCTCATATCCCTTGACCAATCACATTCATCTTGACGATATGACAACTAAATTAATAAATTTTAATTACATTAATTCAATAATTACTTTTATTAATTGATGTTAGTGTTGAAACATTTATTAACAGTAAATTCTAACATCAATGCTTGTGCAGCATAGAAACATTTATAAAGATTGGTTGCCAGGCAACGAAACATACGCCCACAGCAGCTAAATCGTCCAGGCAGTCAACAAGAGTTGTCATATATTTTTACTTTTTTTCAGTAATGAAACATTTATAATACACTAAAATCTGGTTAAGATTAACAACTCATTAAGTAATTCAGAAAATCCTTAGTATTTGTTTGGTTTTTATAAAGTTCTGCCCCATGCTAACCTTTAGTATACGAAACATTTAATATCATGGATTTAGCTGTTCAAGTTATCAAAATTCATTGAAAATCGATATACTTCTTTGTATCAAGACCTTAAACTCTGTGTATCAATCTGAAGTCAATCAGATTTTTCAGTAATCAAGGGCCATAACTTTGGCAGTAATTATCGGAAATCGTTGAAAATCAATAGAATTCTTCGTCTCATGACCTCAATCTGCATATACATTGGATATTATTAACTTTAGCCTCTAGAGCGTCCGCAAGATTTTTTGAAGTGATCAAGGGCCATAACTCTGGCAGTAATTATTCGAATCGCTGAAAGTCAATAGGCTTCTGCATCTCATGACCTTAAAGTTACAATTTCATATTTTCTAAGAAAGTCAAAACATAATTATTTCTATGTCTTTTGCTCAACAGGTTGTCAACTCACTATTATACGATCATAGGTGTCATTCTCACACTTAAAACTCATTTACACCGGAAATAATAGCACATTTACCTCCCTTGTTTTCTATTCTCCACCACGGAGTAGCGATCTTCAAACGTTTGAATTTGAAGAGGAAAATGATATTTTTGCCAATTTCTCAACTGGCAATAGTGAATTATAGGATTAATAGGATTATTCTTTAACAAGGTAGGACTGTTTATAGATACCATCTATTTTAAGGCTTTATTTTGATAAATTTTAAAAATATAACGTAAAAATATGAAATTGCAACTTTAAACTGGTGAAATTGGTGATACGTTATCCGAACCTGCTTCCATAACCTGTGGCGTGCCCCAGGGTAGTATCCTGGGACCGTTATTATTTCTGTGCTATCTAAACGATATGGTTATCAGTATCCCCTCAAAATGTAAACTTATTTTATACGCAGATGACAGTACAATATTATTTTCCGATCAGAATCCTGAAGTTGTTTCACAAACACTTGGCTGTGCTCTTGATTCCTGTTCAGAATGGCTCATCGATAATAAACTGTCGCTCCATCTCAGTAAAACCGAGTGTATTCTCTTCGGGCCTAAACGTAAACTAAGAAGTATTAAAGAGTTTACAATAACCTGCAATAACCATACCGTAAAAGCAACAGATAACCTTAAATATTTGGGTCTACGTTTTGATAAATATTTGTCTGGTGAGGACACTGTTAACAGCATTATTAAGAAAGCAAATTCAAGATTAAAATTTCTGTTTCGCTATAATAAATGCCTTAGCAAAAAAACCAAAAATTTACTTTGTTCTGCACTTATTCTGTGCCACTTTGACTATGCCTGCTCAGCCTGGTATTCTGGTGTGAATCAATCACTTAAAAATAAATTACAAGTTGTTCAAAATAAGGTTCTTAGATTTGTGAATGGGCTAGGACGTAGAGATCATGTTTCATATTCTGATTTGAATATACTTAATGTTGAAAACCGAGTTAAACAGTTAAAACTCAATCACGTACATAAGATTTTTCATAATAATTGTCCATCATACCTTAAATCAAAATTCAAATGTGTTAGAGATACTCATCAATATGGCACAAGATCTAGTTTATTCAATTTTGCGGTTCCAAAATGCTCGGGTAGAGATCAGCTCACATCATTTTATTATACCGCCATAAGTGTCTGGAACGATTTACCGAATGATATTAAGTCTTTAGATTCACTTTACAGCTTTAAAGCTGCAGCCAAGAAGTATTTATTGTTAATACAATGTTAATCTGTGATACTACAAGTTTGATAATCTACTATTAATAAAATTGGTTGATGTATAACATGTAGACATAAATATATTTTATTATTTGTGATACAATGCTGTGATGGCATGTTTATTAAATTTTGCCTCCCAATGATGACCTGACGCGACCATGGCAACTTTGGACCCCATTGGAAATAAGCAACGGATGTTATATACGTCAGGCTTTATGGGCTATCCTAAGTAAAGGTCTCTTCATGACGCCATAGCTATCATATTTCTCTATGCTTGTCTCATATGGCATCCCACATTACAATGTAGCACATAGTTCTTATTTTCATATACATATCTGTATTTATTGTTGTCACTTTCCCAGTCGTGTAATGCGACACTAGTTCTTATTATAATACATTAATTTATTGTCATGTTGTAACCTTTACTTGAAGAATAAATAAATAAATAAATAAATAAATAAATAAACACTATGTATAAATTTAAAGTCATCTAGAGCATCCACAAGACATTTTGAAGTGACCAAGGGCCATAACTCTGGCAGTAATTATCGGAAATTGCTGAAAATCAATAGGATTCTTTGTCTCATGACCTTCAACACTATGTATAAATTTAACGTAAATTGGATATTAACTTCGTCCTCTAGAGCGCCCACAAGATTTTTCAAAGTGATCAAGGGCCAAAACTTTGGCAGTAATTATCGGAAATCACTGAAAATCAATAGGATTCTTCGTCTCATGACCTTAAACACTGTGTAGAAATTTAAAGTCAATCGGGTATTAACTTTAGTCTCCAGAGCGTCCACAAGATGTTTCAAAGTGATCAAGGGCCATAACTCTGGCAGTAATTATCGGAAATCGCTGAAACTCAATAGGCTTCTTCGTCTCATAAATTTAAAGTCAATTGGATATTAACTTTAGACTCGGACGAACGGGGACGACGACAAAATACGCCCACATTGAAATGTGGGCGTATAAAAAGCAAATTTGATGTAGACAATTAAATAGCTGAGATATTGAGTGGATTACACAATACTTATTATATTTGTATTAAAAGCTAATAAAGCATGACGTCACTACAGAGTGACAGAGATTGGCAATAAAAGGCCTGATGTCCTCAGCGTTTAAAACTATTATCTCAAAAAAGCTGTGCTATAAATATAACTTCTATTCAGCTTAACGAGCACTAGCCAAAGTAAATTTTAGCAATGTATCAAGCGAATTAGTAAAATTAGTGAAGTTGTACAACAGATGACAAGATCAATGTAAAACCTTGAAATGTGATCTTTGTCAGGAGTCAAATAGCTCATCCATCCTTTGGCAAAATAATAAATGAATAAAAAACCTTCTTCATGCATCAAATTTTTGAAAGAACTGTCTGAGAACCAGAATAGTTTTTCTATATGGCCTTTTTTTTAAAAGGACAATATTGGTGTCAGTCATCATCACATATGTGATAGAGCTGGTTAAAAACATTCCAAATATAATTTTACCACAGAGATCATTGCTACAATAGATGCGTTATAAAGCTTTCAAGTGCATTACCATGTTTTTATTAAGTATAGAATGAATAACAACAAGGGAATGTACAAAGTATTTCTATTTTTCTCGTTTTCTCGTATTTAGTGAAATTCAGTTACTTTTTTGAATTATCAGATATCTCTCACAGCCTCACATAACAACTTTTGGTCTTCGAAAGAATTATTAGTGAGCAGAAATTCGCCTGTATATCTGTTATCACTCATCACTTCAGTCAGTTATATAGAAGGATAACTTGTGTTTTCCTTTTGCGTTTGTCACTTCCCTTTCTTGAAAGCTTCACAACACACCTATCGTAGCAATGATCTCTGTGTTAAAATAACATTTGGAACGTGTTTAACCAGTTCTACCACATATGTGATAATGACTGAAATCAATATTGTCTTTTAAATAGACTGTTTCAAAGTAGAGTGAAGTGAATGACTTACTTGAACATCTGGCAACTGTTTGATAAGTTCTTGAGGTAAAATCCGTCCATTTAATTTGAGTAATCTAGGTTCAAATTTTAATCCCCAGCCATCCATTTCTGACTGAACTTTTGGATTTCTGAAACAGCAAACAGAATTACAAAACTCTATTTTAACGACATTTTTAGTACAAGTAGTAAGACTAGCTGGTCATCTTTAAAGCAACATTATCACCATCCCCGAGAAAATAAATGTACATTTAATTAGGGTTTCACACTATTGTTTTTGTTAATATTATTCGTATTAAGCTTTCATATGAAAGCTTATCGTTTCTGTTAAGATTATCATTATTTTTTATTTGTGTTTCCTGCAGATCGGATTTCTCAGAATCTAACCACAGGATCTTTCTGAAACTTTGACCTAACCCCCGAAGAATGGGTGGTGAGTTTCTCATGAAATTTGGAATTTAAGTAGATCTGTCTGATTCGACTTGGACGATGTCATTAGAAATTTTCTAACTTATCTGCCCTTGGAGAAATAAAGGATCAAGGTTTTCATATAATCGAAAAAAAAGGTCAGATTGCCTTGAATTTCTTTTCTGTACTAGGTTTCTTCGTCTCATGACTTTAAACACTGTGTATCAATTCAAAGTCAATTAGATATTAATTCTAGCCTCTATAGATGTTTCAAAGTGATCAAGGGCCATAACTCTGGCAGTACTACTAGATAAGACACTACTGACGCGCACACAAAATATAAAGTTTGTAGATTGAACAGGAAACGTGAACAAGCGGTTGCCATGAAAGATACTCTTCTTCGTCTTATGATCTTAAACACTGTGTATAAATTTAAATTCAATCAGATATTAACTTTCGCCTCTGTAGTGTCCACAAAATTTTTCAAAGTGATCAAAGGCAGTAATCATCGTTAATCTTTGAAAATCAATAGTCTTCTTTGTATCATGACCTTAAACACGGTGTATGAATTTAAAGTCAATCAGATATCAACTTTACCCTCTAGAGCATCCACAATATTCTTCGAATCAAAGTGATCGGAAATTGTTGAAAATCAATAGGCTTCTTTGTCTCATGACCTTAAACAATGTGGCCGTATAAAAAAGAAGGAAATCAGGAGCTTTAACCTTTACAAGAACGGTCAATTTCTGTCCTTACAAAGACACATTTGGGGTCTGAAAGCACCTGGATACTGGCTTAACAGCAAATTAGGAAACAGTCTTCTGGGTGTGGCGATTACTGTTTATTAGTTTTAAAACATTACCTGTTCATGATATTGATAAAATCAATGAGTCTTTTACATCGGCCTTCAGGAGCAATACGAGTGTGTGTAGCTACATCTTTCATCACCTGAAAATCTGCTCTCACATCATCTGACAAGCCTTTAATGAAACAATTAAATATTTTAGAAAGCTTGACAGTACAACACTGTTAGCCGGATATAATTGACTTATGAACCTTGGCCATTTACTAATGAAACTTTTTGTCATCAAATCATACAAGTGATTAAACTGAAAACCAGGTATCATATGATCTTGAGTATTTAGCCCTAATTTCTTTCACATTCATTCAATATCAAATCGCTGATCAGAAATTTGGAACAACACATTTTGGGTTAATTCTTTGAATACGTTCACAACAAGTTTTAAAACACAACAATACAGATGCAAAAGTAAATAATTACTTCAGTGCACTTCTCTGCCTCTCTCAAAATCATTTTATACATTCAAAAATGGTAGTCTTTGACCATCAAAAAATGAAATTCAGCTATGTTCCAGTCGCGATAGATGGTAGACCTGGATAATCGCCTCTTAGATGGAATTCCTTCTGAAACTGCTGCTGGAGGCGGACACGATTGTTTACTGCGGATGACGTGAATGTTGTGTACGATGTCATAATTTATTCAAGAACTGATCTACTTGTATGTTGGGGAAATCTTCTCGTTTGCTATAAATAGTTGGGTTTTTTCTTTGTGCTTGTATCTCCATTATGACAAAACAAACGGTCAGACTGTGTCCTCTGGGTTATTTTACACATGAAACAAGTGTGCAAAGTCCTAATAAGATTGGTGTTGAAAAGTTAGTATCTTAAGACTACTCAACGTCCTTAAATACACATATCTTAACAATGAAATGGGGTTTACATCCTACTGTTCTCCTCCAACTGGGCTAATGAAAAACAAGCATACGCCATACAGTGTGCAATGAGGGAAATTTTGCCCGGGAAGTGACCCTATGGTCTACTCTTATATCAAATTCAATCTGCCAAGGGATCTTTTAAATTCATGCCAATGTATACATAGGACCTGGGTTTTTCGTCCCATCCAAACAAATAGACAGCTGTCCTTGTCAGGTCCTCCGTCCTGTGCCACTGACAATTGCAAGGATCAAACATGCGACCTCCAGGCCAGCGTCTTACTCACTTAACCACAGAGTTATTTCCCTGTGACTATTCAATTATTGGAGCGCTCCAATAATTGAATAGTCACAGGGACATAACTCTGAAAAATATTAATCCGATTTTGACAAAAAGAAATAGGGATCCTTGCTGGCATAATATCAGTTACCTGAAAGGTTCAGAAATATCCAATGAAAACTGTAGTCCCTATTGTGTAGACAAGAAGTGTGGATAGTTTGACGCTAAAATTATTAATCTGAATTATCCTACCTGTTAATGTACATAACTCAGGAAGTAGATAAATATTTTCTGTCTGTCCTCTACGGATGTCTTTCTTTTTAGGTTTAGATACAAGTAATGGTTGTTCCATATCGGTGACGGTCTTCTCATAATTCTACATAAATAAATACATTCAATTCTGTTAATACAAATTTGAAAAATACAATCAGATTAAAATTAAAGATGCATTATTCAAGAGTTAAATCTGCCTATTGCAGGTTTTTCTTTAGGCCTTACATACTTTTTTTACACTATCTGCTTATAGGAGCAGCCATTTTGCCAGGTAGTTTCGGTCCAGTTTTCAATAAATTCGAACTCAACCGTCATTAGGGTGTAACAGTGATACATTATAACATTTATTTAAAATCAGATAAAAATTGTGATCTCTAGAGGGTCCACAATCTAAACACATGATTACAATCAGCGGCCATAATCCAGGATGTTATGGTCTGATATGCGCCAATATCAAAAGCAACCAAGATCTTTGGATTATAATCATACATTTCAAGTTCATCAAAGTCGGATAAAAATTGGGACTTGTAGTGTCCACAACCTTGGTTTGACATACTTTTACAGTATTTGTGTACAAGAACCATGTGTTAGTCCCGAAAAGACCTAGTTTATGTCGAGTGGACGTTAGACCCCATTTCTCTCTCTCTCACAAGGAGTGGCTATTTTGTCCTGCAGTTAGGGTCAGATTTTTAAAAAATTCTAACTCAACCTTCATTGATGTGTTAGGGTGATATATATAAACGTTTTTTTTTAAATCCGATAAAAATTGTGACCTCTAGAGGGACCACAAGCTAAAAACGTGTTTCTTTTTGTACAATCAAGGGCCACACTTCAGGAATTTACGATCCGATATGCACGAATATCAAAAGGAAACAAGATCTTTGGCTTATAAATATGTATTTCAAGTTTCATCAAAATTGGATCAAAATTGTGACCCCTTGGAGGTTCCACAACCTTGATAGACCATATTTTTACACTATTTGCGTATGAGGTGCAGCCATTTTATCTGGCAGTTTTGGTCAGATTTTCACGAAATTCTAACTCAACGACATTACAGTGATATATTTGAGTGTTTTTTTGAATGGGATAATAATTGTGACTTCAAGAGGGATGTAATCAGGGGCCACAACTCAGGAAGTTATGATCCGATATGCGCAAATATCGAAAGGAACCAAGATCTTTGCGTAATAAACATACATTTCAAGTTCATGATTTTTCGAACAATGAGAGGTCATAATCCATGAAGTTACAGTCCGAAACATGCCAACATCGAAAGTAACCAAGATCTTTGGGATATAAGTCTATATTTCAAGTTTCTTCAAAATCGAATAAAAATCGGATGTATAAAAATTCTCATTCAAACAGTTAGAATCAAAGTTAGCGTGTTCCAAAGCATTGACAAATCAAATTGCTTATTACAGCTTTGAAAATCGGTAAATGAAAAATTTTCAAATTGAAATATTAGTCTAGATATAGCAAATGTCATTTTACAATATTTATATCATCAATTTAGCCTGGAAAACATTACAAAATATTTATCTGGGTATGAAAATAAGCATGAAATTGTTGGGAATGTACTGGGCTTCTAAACATTTAATTTCTGATTAAGGGTTTAAAACTTACCTTTTTATAATAGTCTACATACGAGATCTCGTCACCATTGTGTAGTTTGAATTTGTGACTAGGACGTTTTTCCCAATCAATGTCATCAACTCGGTAGGTTTTGTTGTTGTATCTGTAAAATATAGATACACAAAGTTCTGTATCTCAAATTGAAGAAAACATGGTTCCCAGACTACAACCCAATCAGTAAGAAACTAATTAAAGAAATCTGTATGATTATCATATATTATAATTAATTATGAATACATATATATTTGGATTCTTCAATATCAATATCATAGGACACGGTATGTATTACTTAAAAGTTTTTCTGAAATCTTAATAAAACTTAATGCTACATTTCTGTTGATAATCAAAGATACATTATGGAAGATTAAAGAAAGATCTGGCAGCTCTTACTATAATAGTTAAGATAGGTTGCCAGGCAACAAAACATATGCCCATAGCAGCTAATTTGTCCGAGCCCATCAACAAGGGTTGTCGCATATTTTTTTCTTTTGCCAGTAATGAAAACAATTACAAGATGCTAAAATCTGATTCTCAGTAATAACTCATTAACAGAAATCATTAGAATTTGTTTGGCTTCTAATAGTTCTGTCCTACACTAACATTTAGTATATAAAACATTTTATATCAAGGGTAATGATCTGAACCACTGCGTATGAATTTAAAGTCAATCGGATATCAACTTTAGCGTCTAGAGCATCCACAAGATTTTTCAAAATAATCAAGGGCAATAACTCTGGCAATAATTATCGGAAATCAATAGGCTACTTTGTCTCGTGACCTTAAACACTGTGTATAAATTTAAAGTCAATCAGATAATAACTTTGGCCCCTAGCTGAACTGACGGACAGGGGCAACGGCATTTCAATGTGGCCTTATAAAAAAAACCTAGATAATGTAAAGGGAATATGCTGAGAATTTCAGTCAAATTGCTTCACTCTAAGCTGAGAAAACCTTATTTTAAAATCATTGTAGCCTCGGTTGTCATTGTTACCACTGTCACAATAATTAACAAAGTCTCGATTATCCATTTTTGCGGTTAATCCAATGAAAATCAGAGACATAAGATGGCATCAAGAGTTGATTATGGTCTTTTCATATTTATAAATGTCTAATTAATAGTGCATATAACATTTCAGGCCAAAAGAAAGACCTGCAATAGGCCAATTTTGCTCTTGCATAATGCATGTTTAAATGAAATTCGATTTAACGTCCCACTGTTCTGTACTGACTAGGCATATGCCATACATCTATGTGCTATGAGGGATATTTTGCCTGGACTGTGGCACTACAACTTACTCTTATTTTAAATTTCAATTGTCAAGGGTTCTTTTACATGCATGCCAATATGTACACGGGATCCTCTGAAAAACTATACATTGTCCTTTGCCATGCCCTCTGTCTTGCCAGAAAATCCAATTTCCTTGAGGGGCCTCCAGGTTAGCGAGTCAATGTCTTACTTACTGTGCCACACTGACTCTTTTCTGTTATAAAATACCCATCTCTATCAAATTGCTTATTATGATAAAAGTATAAAGAAAAGATCAATTATTTACCTGGTGAGTACAATGGAACCTACTAAAGCTTTAAAGGCTCTGTCATAAAAACTTCCGTGTCCTCTTTGATCATCATATATAGTATACATAATATCTAAGACGGAATCTGTTCTCAGAATTTTATGTGCAATGTCAGCCCCTAACAATATATCATTTTCATACTGCAAGATACTGGTGGCAAAACCTGGCATCACACTTAATCTGTAAAATATTACATCATTTCATTATTATCAAAGAGTCATAGTCATGTAGTATACTATTAGTAGTAGACAACAACCACTTTCCAGGGGCAGAGTGCCGCAAGTTTTATTTCAAATAACAACCATGGAAATAGGTTGCTATCTGACTTACACCTTGACAAAGATAGGCTGCCAGGCAACGAAACATATGCCCACAGCTGTTAAAACGTCCTAGCTGTCGACAAGGGTTATTTGCATATTTATTCTTTTGTAGGTAATGGGGGGTATTTACAAGACAGTTTCATACAGATCAGAGTATAATTTCCATTGTTTGAGGGTTCACAATAAAAGGAAATGAAATGAAAATGAAATAAAATGGGGTTTAACGTACTACTGTTCTGCTCAAACTGGGCTAATGAAAATGGGCATACGCCCTGGACAGCGGCACTACGGCCTATTCCTATATCGAATTCCAACTGTCAAGGGATCTTTTACGTGCACGAGACCTCTGGGTTTTTTTTGTCCCATCCGAACGATTAGACAGCTGTCCTTGTCAGGCCTTCCGTCCTACATCACTGACTTTCTCACCAATGCAGGGATCTACATGTAACACCAAACCTCAATGGTTGGCAAGCCAGAGTCGTATCCACCATGAGCCCCGACAATAAAAGGGTCTACAAACTGAAACAAGGGCCTAAATTCTAGAAGTAATTAACGAAAATTGCTGAAATTCAATAGGTCTCTTCGTTTCACTAATTTAAATGATGCATATAAATCTCATACAGATCAGATGATAATTTATATTGTTAGAGCATTCACAAGGTTCAACAAAGCGAAACAAGGGCCATAATTCTAGAAGTTATAACTGGAAATTGCTGAAATTCTATAAACCTCTTTGTTTCACATATTTAAATAACGCATATAAATTTCATACAGATCATATGATAACTTTTGTCAAGGTTGAAAAAAGTGAAACAAGGGCCATAACTCTAGGAGTAATTGACAGAAATTGCTGCTATTCAATGGGCCTTTTGTTTTGCTCATTTAAATGATGCATATAAATGTCATACAGATTGGATAATAACTTTTGTCGTTAGAGCGTTCACGAAGTTCATCTAAATTCTTCAAAGTGAAACAAGGGCAATAACTCTTGACGTAATTAACGGAAATTGATGAAATTCAATATGCTTCTTTGTTTTACTAATTCAAATGATTAATACAAATTTCATGCAGATTGGCATTAGAGTGTACACAAGGTGCAACAAAGTGAAACAAGGGCCATAACTCCAGAAGAAATGAATGAAAATTATTGAAATTAAATAGGATTCTAAATCTCACTAAATTAAACAACATATATCAATTTTAAAAAGATAGGTCGCCAGACAATGAAACATACGCTCACAGCAGCTAAATCGTCCGAGCTGTCGACAAGGGTTGTCACATATTTATTCTTTTGTAGGTAATTAGGGGAATTTAATAGACAATTTCATACAGATGACATTATAATTTTCGTTGTTTGGGTGTTCACAAGGTTCTAAAGATAGGTTGCCAGGCAATGAAACATACGCCCACAGTGGCATATCAATTTCAAACAGATCCAATGATAACTGTTGTCATTAGAGCGTTCACAAGATTCAACAAAGTGAAACAAGGGCCATAATTCTACATGTAATAAGTGGAAATTGCTGAAATTCAATAGGCTTTATTGTTTTACTAATTGAAATGATGCATATTTATTCTTTTGTAGGTAATTAGGGGAATTTAATAGACAATTTCATACAGATGACATTATAATTTTCGTTGTTTGGGTATCAATTTCAAACAGATCCAATGATAACTGTTGTCATTAGAGCGTTCACAAGATTCAACAAAGTGAAACAAGGGCCATAATTCTACATGTAATAAGTGGAAATTGCTGAATTTCAATAGGCTTCTTTGTTTTACTAATTGAAATGATGCATATAAATTTCATACAGATCGGATAATGACTTTTGTGGTTAGAGCGTTCACAAGGTGCAAAAAAATGAAACAAGGGCCATAACTCCAGAAGAAATTAAATGAAGTTTGTGAAATTAAATAGGCTTCTTCATCTCACTAATGCAAACAACATATATCAATTTCAAAACAATCAGATGATAAATGTAGTCTGTAGAAAGTTCACAAGAAATTGTGGGCGACTGACGGAGCGACAGACAGACGGACGGATGGACGGACGGATGGCCGGACGGACAGGGGTGACGGCAATATTCGACCACATTTCCATGTGGACATATAACAATCAGATGATAATTATCAAATGTAGTCTGTAGAGTGTTCACAAGAAATTGTGGACAACGGACGGACAGATGGATGGGGGCGATGGCTATATACAACCACATTTCCACCCTAACTAAGTCAAATTTGTTTCCATGGAGACACAAAAAATATAAATCCCAGAAATTCCTAAAAAGCAAAAGGCAGAACTACTGTTAAAAGGCTGATGTGTGTACAGCGTTTCAGAAAGATATCTTAAACAGTTTATGAGATATGCTCCGAAAACGAAATCGGAATGGACAGCAGGGTTGTAAAAATCCACTAGCCCGACGCCCGGGGGCTACCAAAAATAACTTACGGGCTAGTGATCTATTTAGCCGTACTAGTCCTGGGCTAGTGCCCTTTCATTGGTTTGTGACTAAAACTAGTGACGATATAGATAAATAAACTGTAAAATATCCCACATTTATTCCTCATATTCCAAGGAAAACTCAATCATAACAATAGATTTTCTGTAGTATTTAGTGTCCCCCTTCAATTCCCTTTTATTCATTCATAATTGACATTTCATTTCTCCATCTTGCACGCTTTGACAGGTCATGTATAAGGTCATGTATAAACCAGTTGAAATCAGGTTGATTTAAAAACAAAAGACTCACTTATACTTTATATTAGATTAGTTCTGACATAAATATTTGAAATCTTACCTTTGTATTTTTTAATACAAGATAATTATGATTATTTAACATGTCGGGTATTTCCAAATAATTTACTACACGTGTTCATTACACACACGCCATGATGAATGGTTCCAGTGACCCGTGTGTCATCAACTTTGACCCTATCGGCACACAGCATGGCACTCGAGTGATAATGTAAACAATTTTACTATCCTGTCTATTTTAATATTATATCAGCACATCGAACTGATTTGTTTCATTTTGAGACTCTTTATTATAGAGTGACCAGGTAAATAAATACGGTAAAACAATTAATTTGTCAATCAGTCGAGGCTATCTCGTGCTTTACAGTAAGTGCTAATAATAACGTAACGTATACAAATCTTCGAGCGGGAATTAAAGCACGTTAATTTACCGTGATATATTATAAATGACATGTGCTATATGAAGTATTTACATATGGTCTTTAGTGAAAGAAAACATTGTTGTTTTTTCTAACCGTTTCACCAGTGCAACCGAAGCGTGACCGGTTAACCGTGTAGCCGTATACATCCTTAATTATTTGGCAATCAAGTCTACGATCTTTATTAAAAACGATAGGTTGGCAGGCAACAAAACATATGCCCAAATATTGAAGATTAAATCTTGTACCTTGTCAAACTATGGACTAGTATATATTAATGCCGGGCTAGTGCCTGACAGTAGACTACTAGCCCTGGGATAGTGGATTCAAAAATTTTTTTATGCCCCTGAGGGACAGACAGACGGACAGATCCCATTTCAATATCCCTCCCTAACTTCGTTTGGCGCAAGATAATAATGTAATGCACACAATCTACAATCAATCCTAAACAATCATGTACTTACTTGTGTTGTGGAATGTCAATTGCTAACTTAGGATTAAAGTAATGACGTCCAATTTCTTTCATCTCAATGGCAGATAGAAGTCTGAAATTGTCAATAAGAACCTGTTAAATGTTCATTGGAGGAACAATTTTGAATGTAAATATATGCCAAGGCAACTCTGAAAATGATTCATGCTATATAAGTCACAAGTGCCTGGACAGCCAAGTTTATCTTCTTTCATGAAGACAACAGTGGTAAGGTTGTTATTATCAAGCCACTTGTACAACTGAATACTACTTAATGATTTATATAATCACATTGCACAAAGCTAGCATTCATTTCAACACAGCTCAATAATATTTCGCTTTAAATGTATTGGGTTATTTGTACACAAATAAGCATCAGATTTTCAAACTAAAATTAATTTTAACAGATATTTTGAGAAATCTTGAACTGCTAATATAATGGAGTTTATACTACAAAGTAATTAGTAATTGGTAGTCCAATATATAAATGTATAATAAAACTGACCTCCTGAATATGATATTAACAACCTGTAGAAATTGTGGACTAGATGGAGGTAATTCATTAGTTAACGTGATAGTAATCTGTATCTTTGTATCATCAAAATTTCTCTTACTGTATACTGTTGTCACCTACAAAATGATCACAAAATGATAGGGTGATGTAACTGAACTGAATCGCTCAGATGTAATAATTATACAATGGGCAATACCGTAGCCAAACAAAATTATGATAACCAGAGAAGGAACTCACATCATGAAAAAAATATTTTCAGGCAACCCTTTACTGAACTTGGCTGTGGAGTTATTAGCATTTTGCGCTAAAGAGATGTTTCGATCCAGATCGAAAATTCTGATTGGACAGTAGTTCTGCAATGGCTTCCAGGGGATGATAAATCAATAAAAGAACAAATCATGGCATTTGCTTTTTTGTCGAATATAATTGGCCTGTGTATAACGGTGCATGGCTCACATGTCTTAGTACAGGAAACTCTAGCCTCTCCACTCATGTCACAGACCCTTTTCTCTGCGGTCATTTTCATGGACTTGAGACCCCTTTCAATATCAAGGTCACCCAGGAATGGTATTTTTTCTCGGAGTAAGAGGCATCCGCTACTGGCGGATGTATAAAAAGGCTATAATCAAAAATGTTCCAAATTTTAAAACTTTTTGACATCTGATTGCAGGCTTTAAAACTGAATAATAGCAATTCAATAAATGTTTCAAAACATTAGCAATAAGTTTATCTTGGAGATAATTCCAAATAATTTATTCATATCCATCATTCCATCAACAATATCTAGTACCTTAAATCAACATTATCCCTATTACCTTTTCTTGTAATTTTCTGGGTAGATATAGAATTCCTCCATCAAAGGCTTTAACTGTGCCTAAAAGTTCTTCATGAGTGAACAGCAATGCAGCCTTTAATTTACGACTGTCAACAGTTGGGTTAAAATCAACTTGATATTGATACAAAGCTACAAACTTTGGTGTCATCTGAAGTTGGAAAAAGTTAGCCAGAAGTTGAATAGGTCGACCTTCAGTTCCTGTAATAGAGAATCCAACATTACTAAAATAAACATAAATTTTTTAGACTCTTACATTATACTAAAGGGGCATTAGGTAAAATTAGATAAAGATCTGACAGTTCTCACTATAATACTTAATTGAGAGCTCACTAACACTGCAATATACGTCCACATACCTACTTTGATTGATATGGTACTTTTTAAAATGAAGAGAATGAGATATGAAATGGCTGTAATATGACAAGAGGCAAAGGAGGCTAGGAACCGAGATCTTTAGGTTATAAATATAAACTTACATTTCAAGTTTCAACAAAATCGGATTAAAATTGTGACCTCTATAGGGTCCACAACTTTGATATACCATATTTTTACGCTATTTGAGAACGAAGGGCGGCCATTTTGTCTGTCAGTTTAGGGCCGATTGTCACGAAATTCGAACTCAGCCGTCCTTAGCTTGTAACGGTGATATAATAATACGTTTTTTTTAAATCGGATAAAAATTATGGGGTCCACAAGCTAAAAACGTGATTTTTCGTACAATCAGGGGCCATAATTCAGGAAGTTACAATCCGATATGCGCGAATATCGAAAGGAACCAAGATCTTTGGATTATAAACTTATATTTCAAGTTTCAACAAAATCAGATAAAAATTGTGATCTCTATAGGGTCCACAACCTTCATATACCATATTTTTACGCTATTTGAGAACGAACGGCTGCCATTTTCGTACAATCAGGGGCCATAATTCAGGAAGTTACGGTCCGATATGAGCGAATATCAAAAGAAACCGAGATCTTTGGGTTATAAACTTACATTTCAAGTTTCAACAAAATGGGATAAAAATTGTGACCTCTTTAGGATCCACAAGCTCAGTGGCCGCGCCAAGGGGGGGCAAAGAATGCCCCCCCATAAATCTGGTCTGCCCTCTGTTTGCCCCCCCAATAATTTTAGAAAATAAAAAAAAGTATTTGTGATACGTTTCGGTAATCAATACCATCTACAGTGAATAAATCCCACATCCCAACTCAGTCATACACTTGCATGTTGTAGAGCATTTCCGACAGTCTATTTTTCAAAATTTTCTTAGTGAGGTCCCCAATGGACTCGCTACTTTGGCGCTCACAAGGGGAATTCATTAATTCGTTGAGGTTCACAAGTCCGTTCGTTTGACATTTTGTTCTCTAGTTGGATATAAACTAGTGATCCGGCGACGAACGGTATCTGGGCAGATCGATTTATCTCGACGATCGGTGCCTGACAGAATACTGTAAGACAGCATTTCCGGCAGTCTATTTTTCAAGATTTTCTGGGGGAGGAGTCCCTACTTTGATGCTCGTGAGTAGGCTTCATCGTGATTCGCAAGTCTGTTCGTTTGACACTTTACCTCATCGATCAGTGCCTGAAATACTGCCAGGCTGCATTTCCGGCAACCTGTTTTTCAAAATTTTCTGGGGGAGGCCCCCTACCCCTAGTTGAAGCTCGTGCCTTTGCCCCCTTAACCTTGGACTTTGCCCCAGCTTTGCCCCTCCAATCACCGATGGCTGGCGCCTCCACTGCACAAGCTAAAAACGTGATTTTTTGTACAAACTGGGGCTATAATCCATTAAGTTTCGATACGATACATGCCAATATCGAAAGCAGCCGAGATTTTGAAGATAAACCTATATTTCAAGTTTCGTCAAAATCGGATAAGAATTGTGACCTGTAGAGTGTCAACAAACAAATTGTGGACGGACGGACAGACGGATGTTCGGACGGACAGGGGCGACGGCATAATACGTCAACATGAAAATGTGGGCGTATAAAAACATTTCAGGCCTAAAGAAAGACATGCAACAAGCTGATTTAGCTTTTGCATAATGCATGTTTTATACAAGCTCTTTTATTAGAATCGGCTAACATCTGGTCTTGATACGGTGTACATGCAACTGTTATTTACTTTAAGGAAGCCCTGTTGGCAACATATATACAAGATATTTCCCTTTTAAGGTAAAGAAGAGGTGCAAACCACTTGCCTTGTTTGTTTGTAACATGTGCCGGTCTTGTTCTTAGATCTTGATAACGGAAATCTGACCTCTTTCTGGGTACTTGACTGGCAGCTCCTGTTCCTAATGCCATACCAGCCATTTGTTCTACAGGTACTCTAGGAATGTCACCAGCCATTCCAGGACGGGGCTCCCTCGCCCCTCCCCTGTAAGCTGCACGACCACTACCACTAGGTGGTGGTCCCCCAGCACCTGCAGGAGGGGGTTGCTGTACTGGTTGTGGCTAGAATCAAAACCATAACAATATTGTCAAAATAAAATATATGGCATTTGTTATTTTTTGTTCTTTGAACAAACATCAAAATATCTTACATTATCTAAATTGATAGACTGAGTCGTCTTGGCAGTCAACAACTGTTGTCACATATTTTTTCTTTTGTCAGTAATGATAACATTTACTACAACACATGGATTATGAGTAATAACCCACGAAGTAATTATCAGAAAACATTAGAATTTGTTTCGATTATTTGTCTCATGACCTTAAACAATTTATATCAACGTTAACCTTTAGAATGTCCACAAGATTTTTCAAAGTGATCAAGGGCCTTTACTTTGGCAGTAATTATCGGAAATCGTTGAAAATGAATAGGATTCTTTGTCTCATGACCTTAAACACTGTGTATAGGTTTAAAGTCAATCAGATATTAACTTTAGCCTCAAAAGCTTCTACAAGACTTTTCAGTAATTATCGAAAATAGTTAAAAATCAATAATAGGCTTCTTTGTCTCATGACCTTAAACAGTGTGTATAAATTTAATGTCAATCGGATATTAACTTCAACCTCTAGAGTGTCCATAAGATATTTCAAAGCAATCAAGGGCCATAACTCTGGCAGTAATTATTGGAAATCATTGAAAATCATTAGGCTTCTGTATCTCATAACCTAAAACACTGTGTATATAACTTTAGCCTCTACAATGTCCACAAGATCTTTCAAAGTGTTCAAGGGCCATAACTCTGGTAGTAATTATTGGAAATCGCTGAAAATCAACCGGTTTTATCGTTGCATGACCTTAAACACTGTGTATAAATTTAAAGTCGATCCGATATCAACTTTAGCCTCTAGAATGTCCACAAGATTTTTCAAAAAGATCAAGGGCCATAACTCTGGCAGTAATTATCGGAAATCGCTGCAAATCAATAGGCTTCTTCGTCTCATGATCTTAAACACTGTGCATAAACTTAAAGTCAATTGAATATTAACTTTAGGCTCTAGAGCGTCCACAGGCAATTTTGGATCCAGGTCTGACGGTGGCGACGACAATATACAATCACATTTCTATGTGCCCGTACAAAAATTGATATCAATGATTTCGTGTTGGGTGGGTTGGCAGCGGGAAGTTGCGATCAACAATGTTTCCATAACCCAAAACCCGAAATATTATTTCTGGTTGACAGGTAACAGTCCTGTTAATTGTCCATTATTTCCGTAGGGCCCCTATACTCACTCGACCAGCTCGATTGACAAACAAGAATCGCAAACCGTGAACCATTAGAAAAACAATCTTCGATTAATTCCCCAAGTATATTCCTGATGAAACAAATTCTGCACTATTCGGAAATACGATCTGCAACAACTTCATTCAGATTACTAATCTAGATTGACAATAACTGCTTAGAACTAAGTATATGATGTCATCTTGTCACTGGGGCCCGGCAGCTACACTGCCTCGGAGCCCGCCGACCTCATGATCCGTCACTGGGTACAATTTTAGTCGTACAGTATGAAGCACATGTTAATACCAGTTTTTATTCCAAGATCAGCTGTCATTATCTATAGTCTTACCTCTGAACCCTGTTCTCCAGGCCTTCTTGAAGTCGCATGGTCTGTAGAACCTCGAGCCCGTCCTCTGGCTCGACCTCTTGTCTTTCCAGACATGTCTTACTTGCTATCAAATTTCAATTTATTCTTTCTGTAGTGTATTCTCTGAAATAAATAATGATTACCAGTAAGCTTCTATTTATATAAATTATTTCAATGGCATTTAGTAATTGAACTGGAATATACAGGTCACAATTCTATAGAATAAAATTACTGAGCAGCGACGTTTCGACTAGGCTTCTCTAGTCATTATCAAGCAATGACAAAAGATAGGTTGCCAGGCAAAGAAACATAAGCCCACAGCAGCTAAATCGTCCGGGCAGTCAACAACTGTTGTCATATATTTTTACTTTTTTTCGGTAATGAAATATTTATAATACATTAAAATCTGATTAAGAGTAACAACTCATTAAGTAATTATCAGAAATTCATTAGAATTTGTTTGGTTTTTGTAAAGTTCTGCCCCATGCTAAAGTTTAGTATACGAAATATTTAATATCATGGATTTAGCTGTTCAAGTTATCGAAATTCATTGAAAATCAATATACATGTACTTGTTTGTCTCAAAACCTTAAACTCTGTGTATCAATCTGAAGTCTATCGGATGATAACTTTAGCCTCTGGACAGTCACAAGATTTTTCAAAGTGATCAAGGGCCATAACTTTGGCAGTAATTATCAGAAATCGTTGAAAATCAATAGGATTCTTCGTCCCATGACCTCAAACACTGTGTATAAATTTGAAGTCAATCAGATATTATCTTTAGCTTCTAGAGCATTCACAAGATATTTTGAAATGATCAAAGGCCATAACTCTAGCAATAATTATCGGAAAGAGCTGAAAATCAATAGGCTTCTTCATCTCATGGCCTTAAACACTGTGTATAAATTTAAAGTCAATCCGATATAAATTTTAGCCTGCTTGTGGATGCCGGACGGACGGATGGGGGCGAGAGAGAGAGAGAGAGAGAGAAATGGGGTTTAACGTCCACTCGACACAAACTAGGTCATTTTGGGACTAACATATGGTTTTTAATTTTATTTCAATAATTCGCTTGCGCGTAGGGGTTTTTAGCAGTGTGAGGAAACCGGAGGACCCGGAGAAAATGCAGAAGGTTGGACAGGCTACCCTACTCCTTGTCACGTACAACTGGGGATTCGAAACCACGCCAGTCGACTCAATGACAGACTTTATGATACAGCGTGCGCATGCTAACCATTCAGCCATCCACACACACACACACACACACACACCCGGATGGGGGCGACGACAATGAAAATAAAATAAGACAAAATATTCATGTACTTCTAATTACATGTCCATACTTAAATGAAATCTAAATTAATTAAGGATTATAAAGTTTAATGCTAATAACAACATTCAATTCAATAGACCACTTTACCTGAAAATTAATACAAATTGATTAATTGGTTAATGGGTAACTTGTTGTGGAGTATATGCAATGATTTGATTAGGTTTTAATAATGACAAAGGCTGAAAGAAGATGCAATTTGATAAAATGTTATCAACAACCACTTTACCTTAAACACAAATGATTAATAATAATAGCTTGCTGTGGAGTATTTACAACACCCTAAAAAGATGAAATTTGATTGGTATAAGCAGTAATTGTATTCCATAGAATTGTAACCTATATATTATATTTATATGTCTGAGTCGAAAATAGATTTAATAAATGAATGAAATGGGATTTAACTTCCTATTTTTCAGCACCAAATGGACTAATAAATACAGACATACATGTACACGTACATATATACAGTTGTATGCCATACAGTGTGATATAAGGGAAATTTTGCCAGAAAAGCAATTTAATTACACCTGATAACAGCTCTTTTACATGTACAAGCATGCCAACCTGAAAGTAAAAATTTCATTGTATTATATTTCCACAATAAATAAATAGAGTTAGAGATACCATTCACCAAAATACTTATTGATATAAAGCGGTCATTGTGGACTCTGGATATTCCCAATCCTCCCCAACCGACCTACAATTAGCATCTCCCAATAGATATATGTACCTAAGTTTAAATTCATTTGTACTTTCTGAGAAAATGAAAATGAAACATTGATACATGTAGTTCTTAGAACCGTTAATCAAATCACATTGGAAAATTGCCAACTAAAATATTAACTGGCTTAATGCCAGAGGTGGAAAAAGATTTGTCCTTCTAGGAATCTAAATGTAATGTACTACCCACACATTTGAAACAGAGATTACACACATGTACCACCAAACAAAAACATACAAGAAACAACCCAATAACAAAACATTTTCCTCAAGCAGATTGATGTTTGAAAATTATTACTGGGCCACCATATAAAAACAAGATTCTCAGTGTGCACACTGTCTTCAAACTAATGAGACACATGTAGCATTGTTCAGTGTATTGATAGTACATGTATTTCTCTTCAAACAAGTTTAAGTTCTGAAGCAATATCACTAATTTATAAAAGAGAGAGAGAGAGAAATGGGGTTTAATGTCCACTTGAGACAAACCAGGTCATTTTGGGGCTAACATATTGTTCAATTTTATTTCAATAATTTGCTTGCGCATAGAGGTCTAGACATACATGTAGGGGGATAAAAAATGGAGATTTATTATTCAAGAATATTACAAGTACCATACCCAACCTTATTTATTAAAGATACATGTACATTATGGAAGATTAGATAAAGAGCTGGCCGTCCTCTCTATATAATAGTTAAAAACTAGATAATGTAAAGGAAATATGCTGAAAATTTCAGTCAAATTGCCCCCCTCTGAACCGATATATTAACATTTGAATTTTATGCCTAGTCTCGATTATCTATTTGTGGATTAAATCATCAATGAGCGTTAAGCACAGCAAATTGGATTCAAATCCAGAGAAAATCCGCCACATAAGATGGCGGATGATTAAGGTCTTTTTATTAATGTCTAATTAATAGTTTATGTAACATTTCTGGCCCAAAGAAAGACCTGCAATAGGTAGATTTAGCTCTTGCATAATGCATGTTTAAGGTACACTTAATTTTAATCTATTTATTCTAATCTACAGTATTTATTTTAACCTATTTATAGCATTATCACCCTTTAACCCTTTCGTTATGACTCAATTGCCAGGCCATAGCCATCATAAAGATAAGTTGCCAGGCAATGAAACATATGCCACAGCAGCTAAATTATCCTAGCACTAGACAAGGGTTGTCACATATTAATTAATACTTCTGTAGGTAATCCAAAGGAAGATTTACAAGATACTGATATCGTATCAATTTTATACAGATCAAATGTTCACAAGGTTCAACAAAGTAAAACAAGGGTCATAACTGTAGAACTTATCAACAGAAACTGTGGAAATTCAATAGGATTCTTTGTCTTGCTAATTTATATATTGCAAATTGAATACAGATCACAGGGTTCAACAAAGTGAAACAAGAGACAAAACTCTAGAAGTTATAAATGAAAATTGCTGAAATTCAATAGGCTTCTTCGTTTTACTAATTCAAATAACATGTGTAAATTTAATACAGATTGATAATAAGAATAACATTAGTCGTCAGAGCATTCACAAGGTTAAACACAGCGAAACAAGGACCATAACTCTAGAGAAGTTATTATTAACGGAAATTGTTAAAAAATAAATAGGCTTCTTCGTCTCACTAATAGTAATGTAAACAATATATAAATTTCAAACTGATCAGATAATAAATGTAGTCTGTCACACAAATTTTGTGGAAGACTGACGGCGGCAATATTACAAGTACGACCACATTTCCACGTGGGTGTATAAAAACCACAACAATAAAGAATAAGATTGATTGGTCACATCATTTCTCTTCTGCCTTTCATTTATTCATAGCTGGGTTTTTTTTCTGTTTTATTATTAGGAGTTTGGTTTCATTTTGGGTGAATCCTGTATCATTTACGGGTCTTGGACTCACGGCTCGAAATGTTTGCCTGTCTATATTGTCACTTGCGACAGTGGACTAAATTTTACTTGATGTTCAGTAATCATTGGTACATTGTAAATTGACTTAAGACCACTATATTCACCTATCACTTCAGTACATTTAATTATTCCTTTCCAAATGCAAGAATTTATCATGGAAATGCTGCGAAAGTCGCCATTTGCACTATTTACACTTAGCTCTGTCGTACAGTCACAATGTTGTAAGTAAAATCACAGCCAATTTTATAACAATGAATTTCACACCATCTGGATAAGCTTGTTTTCATATGTTTGACACTATTTTATAGTATTATGATGTGTCTACCTACACATACATGTAATTATCTAAATAAATTAGACAGCAAGCCATGTGACCTGATTCCACGTAAAAGTATGGCTAGGTGTCTGCATACATGTATATATACTATATGGGTGTATGCTATAATGATGATAATGCTTTATTACACAATTGCATGGTATACAAGTATGGTAAAGCATACAAAACAAATTACAATACAATACAATACTAAACAAGAAATAACATAGAATATGTAAGATTTACAGAGATTTCTAAAAGTATATTAAATTATATTAATACTGCTTGTATTAGGCCTTACAAATGTATATAGCAAATGGTAAATGTATTTAATGTCTATTTTTAAACATTTCATATACAAACGTTGCAATATCTTGTACATGTGTGCATTTATCGGGGTTCATTATATACATGTATATGCATTATTGAATCATTTAAACTAGTTTTAATGTGGTGACTTTAAACTTTTGCCGAAGAACATTGTGGGCGGAGCAATGGAGAAGAACCTGTGTTTCATCTTCCACTTATCCGCTGGTACAATTTTTAAAGATCCTCTTATCCTTGTGGAAGAAACAGGAGCGGATTGGGCCACCGGTCAGAAATGAAAAAAATAATTTTGTCCAATTCGTCTAAAAAACCCTTTTCTGCTGAACATTATATGGGGGGGTATTGGACCGATCATGTCCAATTCGTCTAAAAAACCCTTTTCTGCTGAACATTATATGGGGGGGGTATTGGACCGATCATGTTGTATGTGGCCGGTGGCTTTAACAGGCCGTCACGCCATCACTGGAGTCTGGAATGGGCTGGTATAATAGACTTTCTGGCCGGGTGCTGGGAGTGCTATGTTCATTAATCAATATGTACATGTAGTGTGCCAAATGTTCAAGTTCGGAGTCAAGGTAAAATAATTTACCTGGAACAACAAATCCAAAATTCAAAAAAAGCAGCTTTCATGAATTTCACTTTTGTCACTCTGTACCAATGTGTCTCGTGGCCTTCCATCACAGGAGGAATCAACTAGCGCTCCCGGCAACAAAAATGGGGCATTTTTCAATGAAAATATTCCTACTTATTCAATACACATGTATATTCCTAACTGGTTAATCAAATGGTCAAAATTTTCTCAACTATTCTCATTTTTTAACCAGTTAAATTCTCTTGACTCTTGACTCTTGACGATACCGTGATAATACGTTAATTAATAATATGACGATATGATAATTTCACAGGTTGATGGTTGTAAATTACTTGCAGGTCGGGGTTTTGGCCTAAATTAATCGATTTATGAGATATATTATTTGACAGAGGTTCCTAACAGTTCTTCCTTTTCCAGTATATTTCCAAGACTGAACAAAATATCCCTCAATCTTTCTTTGAACATCTGTAGAAAAGCGTCTGTATTGAAAGACTGAGAGATAGGTTGTTCATACAACCCACCCAGTCCAGTCTCCTCTAGGACATATCTAATTTGATTACTCCATCTACTGCTGACATTTTTCATTTCGTCCAGAGCAGACCTAAGTACGGGGTTGTCTTCTTTTGTTTTTGATTCGAGCCATGTCTTGACCATCCTGTATTTAACATCAAGAAGAATCGGAAACAACCAACTTCTGAATTCTAACCATATTTTTATTTGGGGGGGGGGGGGAGGCCTTCTGATATTGAAGGAAGGACCAATTAAAGCAATTTATGAACGTGTATTTATGGATAATGTGTGACGTGATTGCTATTAGGTAATTGACAGTGACAGTTTAGTCACTGAAGCGACAAGTACGAAAAAAGTTTCATGCTTGCGACAGGTAGTTAGGTTTTTTTTTCAACATTTCGAGGCCTGATTAAGGACTGTACACGGCATTGGAACTTAAGACTGGATCCAGAATCCATACTTATATTTATGTTGCTCCTATTCAAAGATGAGATGGGAAAACTCTGTATATTCCTAACGGCTGAAACAAATTTTCACTCTTCTTGATCACCGAGCATGTATACATTCCCTCAATTCAAATGAAAATGTTATGGATGGGTGGCTCTATTGGGACACCCGCTCTATTTAGGACATATGCTACCCCAGTCCCACTAGTAATAGTATACCATGGAGTCCATGTGTATAATAGTATACTAGCCTATAGTATTGATAATGTCACCCGGAAGACAATGTCATGTTTCTTTCTCGATCATCTCACAATACTTACTTCCAAAAGTTTTGTTTTCCTCGCAGACGGGACTTATCCTACAAAGCCTCCAGTGTCACTAAATAGGTCATTTTATGGCGTTATTATTGAAATAAACCACAATTTTCAGAGTAGTCCATAGGGCCATAGATAATACCGTATTATCTATGATAGGGCCTACACTAGGACCGGAAGTGATACGAATTAAGGTTAACACGGAGCGGGTCACGTGTCTTGAAAATTGAGTCAAGTCAAACCCTTCGAAATAGCCTACAGCTACAATACTCTATATTACCGGTACTTATATTAATTTAGACAAATTTAAACAACCAAGTCGTTTTGGGTTTTTTTTTTTTTTTTTTTTGCTTTTTTTCAAAAGATCAGATTTCGTTGTAAAGTTACATCCCGAGGACAGCATAATAAACAACTAAGTTTAAAGTCATACAGATAACAATTGATTGCGCCAGGTGATAAATATTCGCACGAGACTGTAATTAAACATCGCTATTAAACCGAGAATTATCTAAACTAGCTTTAGAAAACCAAACAATACTTGCTTTTGAAAAATGGTTTAAATTTTGGATTTTTAAGGTTGTTATATTCATTACAATCAAATATGAAACAGTATCTAATAAAAATCTGGCTTAACATCACAAGTTTGTGGGTCAATTTTGAATTTTCTTGTTGATCAGTAGGTATGAAACTATTCAATTTTTTTTTCAGACAACTAGTATCATTATGTATAGCATTCGTTGTAAAACTAATTCGGGGAGATTTTGATTTAACAGTATTTACATATTTTTGAAACAGGTTCAAAGTGTTTTGGTTCTGTAAGTCGGCCATTTTCGACGTTCCAAATAAAAGTTTGGTGCCAAGACCACCTAAAGATACATTTTAAATGTTCCTATTATTAATTAGAACAGGTTTCGCTTTAGTTTTTATATTTTACCCCGACATTTATTACTTGAATTCTTCCTAGTGCTAAAACGGAAAATGTGACCTTTTGACCTTTGGGGTCACAAAGAACAAAGGTGAATTTAGCAAGTTTACATTTTTATTGAAAGTGTGATTACTTTCGATCAATTTCAGCATATTTTCATGATGCAAGAATGACTGCGCATTCACTTTCAGTGCAAATGAACCCATTTGACCTTCGCCCCAAATATCTCGAAAACGTATTCTACGCAAAATTTTACTCTAGAAAAGTTGGGTCTGGTTTTTTGTCCATTTGATGCCCCCACCCCCTGCACTGCAGCCTATGACTAACATGGTTCCATTTAATTTCAATGTATTTTACACTCATTGGATGAAGCTGGGGCTTAAATATAAAGCAGTTTGCACAATATATGGCTACATAATTTCTAGAGGTTGAAAGTCCTACTTCCCAGCATCAACCAGTGTCATGAAGTTGGGCAAACCCCATACAGTGTCTCATGTGGGAAGTTTTGCCTTGACAGTTGTATTTCTGTCTGCTTTTCATGGAGTTCCTTAAAAATAATTATAGCTCTTGTCTTCTTATACACTCTTGGTCACCTTGCAAATTCTATTTCTTATAAACACTCAAATGTATCAATTTTGTTATAAATAAAATTTTATTATCAGTACATGATTTTTGTACCTCATTTAGTTGCCATTTATGAAAAAAATACTATAGCCAACATTGATAAAATAATTCAAAAGTACAACAAAAATTGTTCAATATGTGACATACGAAAATTATCTTTACCTCTCCAAATAATTTAATACAGACATATCTATGTTAAATCTTCTAATTGAAGACAATATTAACTGCACAAATTCTACAATGCTAACATCTTGTCAATCTTTTTAAGACTAACATCAAACAATTTTTATTTAGGTATGAAAAATAATGGTGAATGTTATAAAATCTTTACTGACAGAAAATTTAAGATAACAGTTTATATGGAATAACAACATCTTTTTTTCTGACCAACATGATTTTTTTCTGTACAAAGTCACAAAAATATTGGAATGTCAATTGGAGTTATCAGATTCGTTTTAGTCAAATGAAACAATTAATTTAAATGACTACTAGTAAGAAAAATTCAGAGTGTTGGTATGATATTGCTTGATGGGTAATCAAATTATAAAATATAGAAAAATAAAAACCAAGACAAAGGTAACTACATGTTATGTTCAGATACACCAATTGAACATCTGCAAAAATATAGGCATTACACAGTAAAAACTTGAAATAGTTATACAAAGGCATCATTATATTGAGATTTTAAAATTGTCTAGCTTCATTCATGAACACAATTAAGTTTCAACATATGAAACTCTATCATTAAAACATTTATTTCTTAACAAACAATTACACTTTTAAGAACACTTTGGTAATCCATCTCGGATTTATTTCCAATAACAATCAACTTAAAATAATTCAACAGTTGTAAACGTAACAAAATTCATGTTTCTACTGTATGTAATAACAGGCACTTCCATACATGCGTTGTCACTTTGTACACCCATTACAAAAAGAACAGCTTATCAGCTAAATCTAAAGATGGATCTTTATGAAGTGATTGTCCAACTAAGAAAGCTAATTTATGAGCATACTGACATGGTGCTGGTACACGAATAGTTCCCTGAAAATATAAAGTTTTGAAATGCATTTAAAATGTGTATATTTGATGCTTAGATTAATTTCTTCAAACCATATACCGGTATTGAAGAAATGAATCTACACCCACAAGCAGCACTGGATTTTAATACATCACAGAAAATTGAAGGGTGAGTCACTAGACACTCTACATGAAACTGATATGAGATATTGAATTCAACAGGATTTCATACTGATGGAAATGACATGGGGTTTAACGTCCTACTAATGGGTCGCAATACATACAACGTAATATGAATGCATATAATCTGATTTACATTCAATCGTTTGTTTTTACTGTAATTTCTAATTGAATGGCAGTCTTGACGTTTGGTTATTCCAGTCTACTCCTGTGGTCTTCCTTTATGGGATATGTTTAGCCCTATTCATTGAATCACTCATGGATGATACTGAGTTTAAACACTGCTGGACTGTGATAAATCCCTGTCCGACATTAACAACCAGTCCATAACAGCCGGACAAATCAATTGGGATGAGAGAGATAGGGTTTAATGTCTACTAGACACAAACTAGATTAGTTCAGGACTAGCACATGGTTCAATTTTATTTAATGAATTTGCTTGCCGGTAGGATTCTTTAACAGTGTGAGGAAACTGGAAAAAAACCACCAGGTTGGACAGGCCACTCAACTTCTTGTCATGTACAAGCAGGGAATCAAAACTACGCCACTTGACTCAATGACAGTCTTTATTTAAAGCGCATGCTTTAACCGATTCAGTCAGTACCCCCCACCCCCACAACTCCACCAATTAATCAAAGCTCTAAATATGTTCAAGTGTATAATGATAATCACAGCTTCATTACATCACAACTCGCCAAATTTGTCATGAGCGATTATCCAGAGAATAGCAGAATATGGCAGAAAAACTATTGTGTGAGAAACTAGGCTATCCAAAATAGCTACAAACACAAACATTGGGTAAACACCACATGTAAAATCTATCATCTGTTGAACCACGCAACAGACAAAAAATAATTTTGCTATTTTATAATACATTTAATCACTGTCCGAAGATCAAAACAATGGACTGTCCCATCACATATTTTGATCAACAAAATGGATTGAACTACGATTTCAATACATCCGGGAGAGATTTTATTGGACAATAAAAATAGACACTTCATCAAAAATGGCTTTTAAGCATTCACAAATTTTTCAAATTGATAAAGGGCAATGACTGCAATTATCAGAAACTGATTTAAATCAATGCGATTCTTTGTCTCAGACCAACAACACTGTATAAATTTTATTAAATCAGATGATAACAAATACTTCTAACCCTTAGGAGTGGGATCTCTTTTTTTGGTCAAAATAAAGGGCTGAATTACTTATCAGCAAATATTAAACATACATTATGCAAGAGCTAAATCTGTCTATTGCAGGTCTTTCATTGGGACTGAAATGTTATCTAAATTATTAATTAGACATTAATTAACTTATCCAGGCCATAATCAACTCTAGATGGCATCGCTAGCCTGCGATCTTAAATGGATTGTGAGCCGATTTACTGCATAACTTTCCTTCTCGATTAAATGGATAATCGAGACTATGCGGTTTATCGTACTGACTTTAGTAAAGATGACCGAGGATAGGCAGAAATTTTATTCGCTTAGTTCTTGGTTCATAGTGGATCAATTTGAATGAAATTTTCAGCAAATTGCCTTTACGTTATCTAGTTTTTAATTATTATAGTGGGAACTGCCAACTCGTTATTGAATCTCCCATAATGTATCTTTAAGTCACTCCGTTTGCAACAGCTGAACACAATATGAATGTAGAGATTATCCCATTCCTATAAAGAGAACTCACCGGCCAATTATAATAAAGATGTGTCAATTTGTAACTCAATCTTTGCATATGGTCTGGTTTTAATCCAGTTTGGTCCCAGATTACATTATAATGTGTTGGAGTTACGGTTCCTTGTCGAACAGATTGGGATACCAAGAAGAAATCATACCTGAAACGGAATGTCAAACATCTGAATTTTAGACATGTTAACAGACAAAGTATAAACATTTAAGTATTATAGCAATAACCGATTCACACTAGGGTGCTATTAGTTTACCATAGCAGTTCTAGTTCAAATTCAAAACTGACATTTACACGGTTACTGCTAGAATCGTTCTTGGCATTGAATGGAACTCGTGGGGTTAGTCATGTTTCTTTTTGTAAACAATATTTTGTTTCAAATTTATGATAAGGGATCAGGGAACAGGCATAGACTGTATCATCCCTCTCCTCATACAAGGAATATACCAGCAGTTGCCAGGCAAGATACGCCCACATTTTGCAAGAGATGGATAGAGAACAAGCTAAAAAACCCCAACAAAACCTGATTTTTCGTACAATCAGGACCATATTTCTTCTGGTTGGAGAGATTTGCAAGACATTTTTTTTCAGTTTGCCACACAAAATAAGCAAATATGCTGTATTCTTACCATTCTGGTTTAGTAACTTCACTATCTATACAAGTTCCTGGCGTGGGATTACTCAGACCTTGTCCACCCTTAGAGAAGAATCGAGCATTAATTCTCTTTTTGACAACAATCACAGCCAACTTGGGACTGAAAAATTATAAGATATGTCAGATTTCTGTAAAGGATTGTCCGACAACTATAAAGTATATTTCCATCCATTTTGAATTTTATTAATCTTATTGTCGGCTCCAATGTAATACAATACAAATAAAACTATATAAATTTTAACTTAATACAATTCTTTAATCCTTTATTCTCCAATAATGTGAAGTCGTTGGTCTGTGAGCCACAGTGGCTCAGTGAATAAGACATTATTTTTGGTTCACTAACCTAGAGGTCCCGTGTTCGATCTGTGTTAAAAGGACACAGTTCATCAGGATTTTTCGACGTGGTCTCTCCTTGTCAGTGATGCAGGACAGAGTGCCTGTCAAACCCCATAGACATTCAGATGGGACGAAAAACTGAGATCCAATGTACATATTGAAGTGCTTGTGAAAGATCCCTTGGCAGTGGGAATTTTATGTAAGAGTAGGTTGTAGCACCTCTGTCTGGGCAAAATGTCCCTCATAGCACACGGCCTGTCTTCAGTCCAGTCGGAAGACAGGAATAGAATGTTAAACCCAGTTATCGTTTGATCTAGAATTAAACCCCTACCTATAATTGGTACCACCCCCTTTCTTCAATGCCTCTAATATCTGGGGAACTTCATGTCCGAACACAACAGGAAGCTGACCATCACCAACACCATCTCTATACACAATAATCTTTTCAGGTAACTGACCATTAACTTCATGATATTTACGCAAGGCACCTGTAAAAAAATATATATTTACCGATCATTTGCTTCTCCTTAATAGTTTACAAGTACCTAAACTGTCAAATTTTGTATACCATCTACAGTCTGAACCGTTGTAAATTTTAAACGAATTCCTTCGATTATGATCAAACTACTTAACTTTGGTTGTTATAAACTTGCTTGCTTGAAATCAACTCCCGTTAAATAATTTAGGTTGCTTGGCAACGAAACATACGCCCACAGCAGCTAAATCGTCCGAGCGATTGACAAGCATTGTCGCAAATTTATTCTTTTGTAGGTAATTAGGGGCATACAGATGACATAATTTTCATCATTTGATGGTTCACATGGTTCTAAAAACTAAAACAAGGGCCTTAACTCTGGAAGTAATCTACAGAAATTGTTAAAATTCGAAAGGCTTTTTCGTTTTACTAATTCAAATAATGCATATAAATTTCATACAGATAGGATGATAAGTTTTGTCATTTTGATCGTTCGAGTTTGGGCAATAAAAAATATCAACTAAAGATAATTACAAGTTATAGTCAGGAATGTGGGCATATAAAAATAATTACAAACCATTCATACTGCAGACCAGGCCATCAATTAATTCTTGATGTTCAGTTTGATGTGTCACTGTCGAGTAGAATCGAGTTAAATTGTTGTTTAAACTGGCAATTACACCACCAACAGATTTTCCTTTTGATGAAGAATCATGATAAGTGTCAATTCCAATCACCATCACTTTCGTCAGCTGTTGATAAATTCAAGGATTTGACAATTTTGAAAATAAAATAGAAAGGAATGGAGTCCTGTAAATACAAAACTTTTCATTTATTGGATGGGGTAATCACCCAGTTGGAAATGGCTGGTACTATTTGACAAAAAATATTAATTCTAAAATAACTCATTCTCATGTTGGCTATAACAATCAGTTATTAGTAATTCGTCCGATCCAAATGACATACACTGTCCCTTGCAAGACCCTCCCTTGTCCTGCACCTCTTGCAAATGGAACCATGATGGTTGGCACCTTCTAACACAGGATTGGTTGGTAGAATTCCCAATTAGCTTTCTCGGCCAACACTGGGCTCGAACATGGGACCTATAGGTTAGCAAGCCAATGTCTTACTCCCTCAGCCACTGCCGCTCTTTTTATGGCCACATGTACATAGGAAATATTTCAATTGATATTAGAATAAGTAAACATAACACACAACTTACTGGAACTTCAACAGCCCAAACTTCACCACCTAATTTACAGTTGATCTGAATGGCTATTTTAGTAGCTACTGACATCAACATCTGTTTTTTAGACAGAGTTCTTGCTACTACTACTTGAGATGGTACTGAAAATAAATATTCATTGAATAAATATACCTATTTCTATTGATAATTTCATAAAAAAAAATAATTTTCTTTAAAATCTTGCCTTGCACATGTAATATCATAATTAGGTACTGCAAAATTTTTCTGATACAGTATTTCATATTCAGCAACCTTAAGTGAAACAGGTTACTAGATTTGAAAAAGCAAGGGACAATGTATAGTCGTTAGGATGGGACAGAAAACCCAAGTTCCCATGTATACATTGCCATGCACATAAAAGAACCGTTGAGTTGGAATTAAGAAATAATTTCTCTCATAGCACACTGCATGGCGTACACTCGTCTTCATTAGCTCTAACAGTAGGATGTTAAACACCATTTCATTCAGATTTGGAAAAAAACTTAATATTCATTTTCCTGAAATATTCCCCAAATCTCTTTATCGTAATAATACTATTTATTCTAGGCCTGTTTCTCCCCATATTGATAATGTTGTCAACGATACCCCTGTTCATTCTATTCATATTACAGACGATATGTTGCTGTACATTCTGCGCCTCCAAGAAAACTGAAATCTTTTTAAATGAAAGCACAACAATATATTATGCACGATGCCAGTTCATTCAGACTTCTCATACATGATGATGAAAACTTCACTTCAGTGATCTTTCACAAAGGTTGTTACATGTACCTCTCAAGATGTGCAAATCATCATAACAGGTAATGCTTCACACCAAATTTGATCAAGATCTATTCACAAAGTTTTCGGCCAAGGGGGCATAAATCTGGAAAATGTGAGCGTAGAGAGAGAGAGAAATGGGGTTTAAGGTCCACTCGACAAAAAGTCATTTCGGGACTAACATATGGTTTAACTTTATTTCAATAATTTGCTTGCGCATAGGGGTCTTTAGCAGTGGGAGGAAACCGGAGGACCCGAGAAAACCCACGAGATTGGACAGGCGACCCTACTCCTTGTCATGTACAACCGGGGATTCGAAACAAATCTGAGCGTATAAAAAAAGGCAATGTGATGGCATGTGAGAACGAGATTACTTTGTTTATATGGGCTTGTCTATAGAATTTTGAGAAAAAAAGATAACAGTACCTGCATGTTCAACACATGTAAATTTTTTAATGGCATCATAGCGATCTTTCTTGTTATTAGGTACAACAACTAAAACCATCTGAGTATTTGGTGTTAAATTCTGTTTAAGTGTGGCCAGGTAAGTCTCATTACGATCATTCTGTAACTCACACCTGTCATATAAAAACAATTACATGTGAAATCAATCCTGCAAAAATCAAACATGCTTAAAGGGACCATCCCTATTTTAACAGTCTCAGAAATAAAAGTCTATGTACGTATGAAATTTAAGCACCAAAACACAGAGAAAGGGTGTATTTACCTTGTCTCAAAATTTCAGCTCAAAAAAATATTGAGCTGTTTGGAAGTAGAAGTTAAAACCGTCTATCCAGACAGATAACCCTTTCAAGATTTTACGTCAATTTTGGGTGACCTGATAATCTATTGCCATTCATTTAGAGGTCTATACAGTGCATGACCCACCTGCTGTACTTGATAACGAAAGGTAAATAGCACCAACACTTTATTTTTATAAAATAAAAGTCTGGTTTTATCCAGACAAGGTATAATACAGCTTGTGACACCTGTCTCCATTTTCAGATGACGACTGACAGGTTTGAAAACGTATCATGTATATTGTGTTAGTTGCTCGGTCCCTAAAGTAGAGGTTTTTAAGGACTTTTAACACACATTTAGGCAGTTTTATTCTCCAAAATATAAACATTGTTTAATAATTAAAACAAAACTGATAATATGAACATAGTGATGTGATGGAGCAAGGCCTTTACTACAACAGATCTCAAATATCTGAATTACCATCAACTTAAATGGCAACTTACATTGTGGGTTGATCAATTCTCATTCCCATTGGACCACCAACACGATTTAATGTCTGCACCAAGTCATAAGCAGCACCACTGTCTCTCTTTGTGGACATCGCAACCCAATTGTTCAAATTAACAGCACAGAGTAATTTCTTGCCTCTCATATCCCTTGACCAATCACATTCTTCTTGACGATATTGCAACTAAATTAATAAATATTAATTAGATGAAATTCAATCATTACTTCTTAATTGATGTCAAGATTATATACATTTATATACAACAACCTCTACTTTAAATGGTTCATTGAAATGTGTAGTGCAAAAATAGTTTTAAAAAGCAAACTCGCTATCATTCTTTAATGAACTGTGAAGCATAGAAACAGTAAATTCTATCTTCAAATCTTTATTGAAATGTGTTGTTTTGAAGTATTTAATAGAAACTGCAAAGTTTACATTCTTATCATAAAAATGTATTACAGTGGACCGTCACTTCCGACATCGTATGCGATCGATACAATTATATGCTCGATTATACAGCATCTTTATTGAAATGTGTTGTTTTGAAGTATTTAATAGAAACTGCAAAGTTTACATTCTTATCATAAAAATGTATTACAGTGGACCGTCACTTCCGACATCGTATGCGATCGATACAATTATATGCTCGATTATACAGCATGACGGAATACTCAATTGTCTCAATACTATAAGTATTAATGTACCTCAAATACCGGAAGTATTTTTTTAATGCACCTTCGAATACCCAGAAGTTAAAATATTATAAACCTTTCTGTACTTCAAAATTTCATTACATAAAATTTTTACGTTTTTACTTAGTGTGCGTACATACCACTCGTGCGTCAGACGTGTTTCAGTCAATGAAAAAAATTGATTACTATGGGTCACAGTACGATAGTGCCTGTCTATTATAATATGGTTTCTTAATTTTTTTTGCAGTTTTTACTAATTGTTTTCTGCATTTAAAAACTCATTTGTGTTGTATGGTGCTGCACTAATGCAAGGACAGCCTACATAGTTACGAGTTGCCCTATAAGAACGATCTATTGAATACTTAATGGCTAATTCCTTCTGCATAGGTCATGGAACTTTCTCAAAATCTGCTATAATATGCTGCTTGACATCCAATGTCAAATCTGTACAGGCACGCTTTGCAGGACGATCACACATGACGAACACAATATTATAATATTTTCCATCTCGGCAATTTATATATAATGTCCCTGTATTTGACGTGAGAAACTCACATGAAATACCAAGTGCTCTCTTAAAAGAGATTTAAGGCCGTCGTTCGCACTTCATTTGGTGAATTTTAACAATAAAATCGTTTTTGAGGTTTTATGATCATCTGCGAGTAACACTATTTAGGAACACATACCAGTCATTTTTTTTACAAAATTCTTCTTTATTTCTACAAAATTTGGTTCTGAATGATCCCACCCTTTTTTATTTTGCCCTAATTCCGCTAAAACTATTGATATAAATCTAAAAACAATAGGCATTTCATACGTGAAATACTCGGCTTCCGACCGGTAAACTGTCGCCATGTTGGATACTGTTAGAAAGCTTGGGATCCCCCCTATTGAAAGGAAATGACGTTTTATGGGGGTGTCTTGAAACCTTTCTTCTGTATTGAGATAAAAATAGCAAGCAAGAACAAGTTTTGCATACCTAATGAGGTTATTTCGAGAATACGTTATTTGATTGGTCGGTCACATAGGTCAATGGTGAAGTGTCCAATCAGAAGCGGGCAATCCTCTAGGTCAGGTCAATAGGCATGCGCACTAAGCTCATGTCCCAAATCAATCCTGGTTGCTATATTACTGAACCGTACGTCACTGTTTATCAATATTTTTGAAGATTTTCAAATAAAATGCGTTTGAAATTGTTAGATGACTAAATAAGTATGACAGACACTCATAATAAACAAAATGAAGATGAATATTCGTCTGCTAGACCTAGTAGTGGTATGGTTGCAATACCATTACCAGGTAGGCCTGCTGTCAGTGATTATATAGTTATGGTTGTTTTGAATAACATCTATTCCTATGTCAATGTTCGGTTGTAAATTTACACACAAGAAATAAAATAAGAAAATACTGTATATTGATAAGAAATACATTAGAAAATATATATATTAAAAGTCAGTTTATTAATATTAAATAAATGAATTGAAAAGATCGGCGTAAGTTGTTCTAATGAAATACTTCCAACTTCAGTTGTTGATTTCTCAAAACAGTTTTTTTCTAGAGTTACCAATTTTAGTCATGCTATATCTCTGAAAGTTATCGTCAGATTTTCTTGAAACTTGGAATATAACTTCCTATATAATAACTTTGTGCAATAGGAGAATTTTATTGAAATCTGCAAAATAGTTCCTGATATATTGTTGCCATAGCAACTGTGACACGTGAAAGAATTTTGAAGTTAACATTAAAATGTGTATAACTTGCTTTCTAATTATTATTTTGTAATGAAACTTGCCTATTGCACAAAGGAACATGTCAGTAACCTCTCTGCTTAATTTTAAAACATTCTGTTGAATAGTTTCTGAGAAACTGGATGACTAAAATTATATGCAGAAATCCAAGATGGCCGCCGTTTCCATAGCAACAGGTACCCCCAGGAAAATTTTTCGGCCGTTTTTGTAATACTCAATGGATGTGTTCTTAGATGTGTAAGAATGGTGACTTTACCTCAATTATTAAAAAAACTGAAATTTTCTACTGTCCACCCCCTTAAAGTTATCAAGGTAATCAACAAAGACCGACACATGTTTTATGCTCGCAGATATTTGATTGGTAATTGCTTGTTGGTTAACACCCACTGATTGAAGGATGGATTTTACAATGTTAATTCAATACAAATTGTGTAACCAGACCGCTGATTGATGTAATTCGGAATATTCAGAATACAGACTACTCAGAACTTTTTTGGCTGAAGTAATAAGGAAATAAATCGGGACATGAAAATGATGACGGATTTCACAGAAAGCTGTGGTATTTAGATGTCGGAAGTGACCAAGTCCATTGCACAGGGTGAATAATAGTGGATGTCGTTTTAGTGACTGTGTCACATATCATAAACTGTTTTATCATGGCAATAATGGACCATTTTTATTGGCTTAGAAATATGACAACTACATGAAAAGATGCACAAGAGAATTCTGATCCGAAGCAAATAAGTGAGTTGTCAAAGGTGCCAGATACCTTTTAACACACACCCCCTGACCCCCTCCACCAAAGACGGATACACTTCACAGACATTAGAGGTTATAAAGAGAAAAATACCCTTAAAGGACAATATTGGTGTCGGTCATTATAAAATATGTGATAGAGCTCGTTAAATACATCCCAAATATAATTTTAACACAGAGATCATTGCTACTGGAGATGTGTAACAAGCACGTGAAGAAACGGGAAGTGACGTCAAACATGACAAACACGAGTTGTCCTTCTATATAACTGACTGAAGTAACGAGCGATAACAAACGAACGATCGAATTTCATTTCACTGATAATTCAGTTGAAGATGAAAGTTGTTATACGAGACGATGAGAGGATATCTGACAATTCAAAAAAAGAATTGGCTGTCAGTAGATAAAAGATAACGAACAAATTAGAAAAAGTCTGTACATTACCAATTTTTTTATTAAGAACAGAATGAATAAAAACAGGGGAATGCACGGGGGTTTTCTATTTTCTCGTGTTCATAGTGACAGCCAATTCTATTTTTGAATTGTGAGATACCCTTTCACCGTACCATACAATAACTTTTCAACTTCAACGGAATTATCAGTGAAATGAAATTCGATCGTTTGTCTATTATCGCTCGTTACTTCAGTCAGTTATATAGAAGGACAACTCATGTTTGGCGTCACTTCCCGTTTCTTCACGTGCTTGTTAGACGTCTCCCGTAGCAATGATCTCTGTGTTAAAATTATATTTGGAATGTATTAAACCAGTTCTATCACATGTGATAATGACGGACACCAATATTGTCCTTTAATATTACTCCATTACTCACAAACTGATTAGGTAACTGATTATATGATATTTGTAATGGGAGACATATGTTGATTGCTTTTTCATATTTTATTTGTGTGACAGTTTCAAAGTAAATTGAACTGAATATAACCAAACTATTGATGAACTTACTTCAGCATCTAACTGTTTAATCTTTTCCTGAGGTAAAACTCGTCCAGTAAGGTTGAGTAATTCAGGCGCAAATTTTAATCCCCAGCCAGTCATTTCTGATTGAACTTTCGGATTCCTGAAACGGCAAAAAGAATTAGAAGAGTGGTTGCCATGTAAGATATGCGATTTTTTGTACAATAAGGGGCCATAATCCAGAAAATTATGGTCTGCAAATATCAAAAGGGACAGATCTGTGGGATATAAAGATATGTTTTAAGTTTCATCAAAATTGGATAAAAATTGGGACCTCTAGAGGGTCCACAAGCTTGGTATTACATACTTTTACACAATTGGCGTACAAAGAGCGGCCATTTTGTCGGGTAGTTTCATTTCGATTTTCTTGAAATTTGAATTCAACCTTGATTATGGTGGAATGGTGATATATTCGAACGGTTTTTAAAATTGGAAAAAGAAGCAAAAACATTGTGACCTCTAGAGAATCCATAAGCGAAAATAATCAGGGGCCATTATAATCCAGAAAGTTACGTTCGGATATGCGTGATTATCAAAAGGAACCAAGATCTTTGTGTGTAATGCTGATATATTCACACGATTTTATAAATCGGCATACATCTTAAGAGTGTTATTAGGAAAACGTTTGCCCGGACAGCAACGCTACACCCTACTCTTATTTCGAATTTATGATCCACAAATCTATAGTCTTTAAAAGCACATCAATGCAGACTAACTAGCAATTTGTGAACCAGTCTTCTGGGTGTGGCGATTACTGTTTATTAGTTTTAAAACGTTACCTGTTCATGATATTGATAAAATCAATGAGTCTTTTACATCGACCTTCAGGAGCAATACGTGTATGTGTAGCTACATCTTTCATCACCTGAAAATCTGCTCTCACATCATCTGACAAGCCTTTAATGAAACAAATATTTTAGCAAGCTTGAGAGTTGACAGCAAAAGTAATAATTAACCAGCAAGATAAGGCTTCTTTTCATTTAAGTGCAAGACACAAACTTTATTTGCCAAAGCAGAAATAGAATAGTGCATGCTAAGAAAACTGAAGAAACATCAAAGCAAGTGCCAGGACTTTCAATTATTCTAAAAACAAAAGATAGCTTGCCAGGCAACAAAAAATACGCCCACAGCTTTTGTCAATGATGAAAGGATTTACAAGACACTAACCAGCGGCTGCCAGGCAGGATACGCACAGTTTGCAAGAGATGGATAGAGAACAAGCTAAAAACAAACAGGATTTTTTGTACAATCAGGGGCAATAATCCAGAAAGTTATGGTCTGAAATGCGCAAATATCAAAAGGGACTGAGATCTTTGTGATATAAAGATATGTTTTAAGTTTCATCAGAATCGGATAAAAATTGTGACCTCTAGAAAATCGACAACCTTCTTATTGCATACTTTTACACAATTTGCGTACAAAGAGTGTCCATTTGTTGGGCAGTTTCATTTCGATTTTCCTGAAATTCGAATTCAACCTTCATTATGGTGGAATGGTGAAATATTTAAACGGTTTTTAAAATCGGAAAAAAAAATTGTGACCTCCAGAGAATCCGCAAGCTAAAAATGCCATTTTTCGAACAATCAGGGGCCATAATCCAGGAAGTTAAGTGCGGGTATCCGCGATTATCAAAAGGATCCAAGATCTTAGTGTGTACTTCTTGATATATATTCATACATTTTTTTTACATCAGATAAAAACTGTGACCTTTATAGGGACCACAAGCTAAAAACGTGATTTTTTTGTTCAATCAAGGGCCATAATTCAGAAATTTACAATCCGATATGCGCGGATATCGAAAGGAACCAAGGTCTTTGGGTTATAAACTTACATTTCAAGTTTCATCAATATCAGAAAACCAGCGGCTGCCAGGCAGGATACACCCACATTTTCGAGAGAAGGATAGAGAACAAGCTAAAAAGAAAGTGATTTTTCCGACAATCAAGGGCCATAATTCAGGAAATTACAATTCGATATGCGCAAATATCGAAAGGAACCGAGATCTTTGTGTTATAAACTTACATTTCAAGTTTCAACAAAATCGGATAAAAATTGTTATCTCTATAATGTCCACAACCTTGATGTACCATATTTTTACGCTATTTGAGAACGACCGGCGGCCATTTTGTCTTTCAATTTTGGGCCCATTTTCACGAAATTCGAACTCAGCCATCCTTAGGGTGTAACGGTGATATAATAATACGTTTTTTTTGAATCGGACAAAAATTATGACCTCTATAGGGTCCACAAGCTAAAAACGCGATTTTTGGTACAATCAGGGGCCATAATTCAGGAAGTTACGGTCCGATATGCGCGAATATCGAAAGGAACCAAGATCTTTGGGTTATAAACTTACATTTCAAGTTTCATCAATATCAGAAAATCAGCGGCTGCCAGGCACGATACGCCCACATTTTCGAGAGAAGGATAGAGAACAAGCTAAAAAGAAAGTGATTTTTCCTACAATCAAGGGCCATAATTCAGGAAATTACAATTCGATATGCACAAATATCAAAAGGAACCGAGATCTTTGGGTTATAAACTTACATTTCAAGTTTCAACAAAATCGGATAAAAATTGTGACCTCTATAGTGTCCACAACCTTGATGTACCATACTTTTACGCTATTTGAGAACAAACAGCGGCCATTTTGTCTTTCAATTTTGGGCCCATTTTCACGAAATTCGAACTCAGCCATCCTTAGGGTGTAACGGTGATATAATAATACGTTTTTTTTGAATCGGACAAAAATTATGACCTCTATAGGGTCCACAAGATAAAAACGCGATTTTTCGTACAATCAGGGGCCATAATTCAGGAAGTTACGGTCCGATATGTGCGAATATCGAAAGGAACCGAGATCTTTGGGTTATAAACTTATATTTCAAGTTTCAACAAAATTGGATAAAAATTGTGACCTCTATAGGGTCCACAAGCTAAAAACGTGATTTTTCGTACAAACAGGGGCCATAATCCATGAAGTTTTGTTCCGATACATGCCAATATCGAAAGCAGCCAAGATCTTTTGGAGATATACCTATATTTCAAGTTTCGTCAAAATCGGATAAGAATTGTGACCTGTAGAGGGTCCACAAACAATTGTGGACGGACGGACGGACAGGGGCGACGGCATAATACGTCCACATGAAAATGTGGGCGTATAAAAACGCGATTTTTCATACAATCAGGGCCCATAATTCAGGAAGTTACGGTACAATATGCGCGAATATCGAAAGGAACCGAGATCTTCGGGTTTTAAACTTACATTTCAAGTTTCAACAAAATCGGATTAAAATTGTGACCTCCATAGGGTCCACAACCTTGATATACCATATTTTTACGCTATTTGAGAACGAAGGGCGGCCATTTTATCTGTCAGTTTTGGGCCGATTTTCACGAAATTCGAACTCAGCCGTCCTTAGGGTGTAACGGTGATATAATGATACGTTTTTTTAAATCAGATAAAAATTATGACCTCTATAGGGTCCACAAGCTAAAAACGTGATTTTTCGTACAATCAGAGGCCATAATTCAGGAAGTTACGGTCCGAAATGCATGAATATCGAAAGGAACCAAGATCTTTGGGTTATAAACTTACATTTGAAGTTTCAACAAAACCGGATAAAAATTGTGACCTCTATAGGGTCCACAACCTTAATATACCATATTTTTACGCTATTTGAGAACGAACGGCGGCCATTTTGTCTGTCAATTTTGGGCTGATTTACACGAAATTCAAACTCAGCCGTCCTTAGGGTGTAACGATGATATAATAATACGGTTTTTTAAATCGGATAAAAATTATGACCTCTATAGTGTCCACAAGCTAAAAACGTGATTTTTCGTACAATCAGGGCCATAATTCAGGAAGTTAATGTCTGATATGCGAGAATATCGAAAGGAACCGAGATCTTTGGGTTATAAACTTACATTTCAAGTTTCAACAAAATCGGATAAAAATTGTGACCTCTATAGGGTCCAAAACCTTGATATACCATATTTTTTACACTATTTGAGAACGAACGGCGGCCATTTTGTCTGTCAATTTTGAGACGATTGTCACAAAATTCGACCTCAGCTGTCCTTAGGGTGTAACGGTGATATCATAATACGTTTTTTTAAATCGGTTAAAAATTACGACCTCTATAGGGTCCACAAGCTAAAAATGCGATTTTTCATACAATCAGGGGCCATAATTCAGGAAGTTACGGTACAATATGCGCGAATATCAAAAGGAACCGAGATCTTTGGGTTATAAACGTACATTTCAAGTTTCAACAAAATCGGATAAAAATTGTGACCTCTATAGGGGCCATAATCCATGAAGTTTCGATCCGATACATGCCAATATCGAGAGCAGCCGAGATCTTTTGGGGATAAACCTATATTTCAAGTTTCGTCAAAATCGGATAAGAATTGTGACCTGTAGAGAGTCCACAAACAATTGTGGACGGACGGACAGGGGCGACAGCATAATACGTCCACATGAAAATGTGGGCGTATAAAAATTGTGACTTCTATAGGGTCCACAAGCTAAAAACGTGATTTTTTGTACAATCAGGGGCCATAACGCATGAAGTTTTGATCCGATATACGCCAATATCGAAAGCAACTGAGATCCTTTGGAGATAAACCTATATTTCAAGTTTCGTCAAAATCGGGTAAGAATTGTGACCTGTAGAGTGTCCACAAACAATTGTGGACAACTGGACAGGGGCAACGACAATATACGTCTACATGAAAATGTGGGCGTATAAACACTAACAACACATGAAGTAATTATCAGAATTTGTTTGAGCCATGCTAAATCAGATCTTAACTTTTGCCGCTAGAGTGTCCACCGACAACTGTGAACTAACTGGAGTGATAACAATATATGACATTTCAATGTGGGCATATAAAAATAAAACGAACTTGACCTTTTATAAAGGAAATTTGTCTCAGCAACATAGAGTTTTTAAGCATGACGAAGGAGCAAAGCAATGGAGAGTATACAATTGTGGACAAACGGACAGGGGCAACGACAATATACGTCTACATGAAAATGTGGGCGTATAAAAACTAACAACACATGAAGTAATTATCAGAATTTGTTTGAGCCATGCTAAATCAGATCTTAACTTTTGCCGGTAGAGTGTCCACCGACAACTGTGAACTAACTGGAGTGATAACAATATATGACATTTCAATGTGGGCATATAAAAATAAAACGAACTTGACCTTTTATAAAGGAAATTTGTCTCAGCAACATAGAGTTTTTAAGCATGACGAAGGAGCAAAGCAATGGAGAGTATACATTTCCTGTAGAATTATCCTACCTGTTAATGTACATAACTCAGGAAGTAGATAGATATTTTCTGTCTGTCCTCTACGGATATCTTTCTTTTTAGGTTTAGATACAAGTAATGGTTGTTCCATATCGGTGACGGTCTTCTCATAATTCTACACAAATAAATACATTCAATTCTGTTAATACAAATTTGAAAAACAAGACCTGATCAAATCAAAAAATAACCAAGAAAAGAAACTTTAAATGAATTGGAAATTGCTTGGTATGCTTGTGTATTTCACAAAGGCTGTGATCGTCATTTGAAAGATTCATCATGGTACAGTTGCTGCGCAAGCAAACTGTTCCTATAATATGGAAAGCTATTTGGGCTGTTTGAGGCAATGCAAGGAACAGAAGTTTTCTGACCGTTTTGGTTTTTTCAGTAATGTACTGGTATCTGCTTTTCTTTAATTGTCTTCATGGAACTTCGGTATTATATATATATATGTGCTAAAGGGTTAAATTACGAAAAGGGATAATGGTCCAAAAATAATTAAATTCTGTTATTTACAAAGATGTGATCAGCTGAAAAATTGTCCAAATTTCCGGCATCCACTACTCAGTATTATATATGATCTAGTCAAAACAAGCCAACACCATCTATTCTTATGCTGAATTTTTTGACAGGCATCTTTTAAATCCAACTGAATCTAAACAAGGAGATTACCGTTAATTTGATTTTGTTTTCCAATTAATCGTACATTTATTTTTTTCAAAAATATCGAGCAATCAAACTGATTATTAACTATACAATAAGTTTCATCACCCTATCAGATAGAATCAAAGTTATCGTGTCCCAAAGCATCGACCAATGTTAATCATTGAACTCAGTCAAGACATTCAAGTTTAAACATTCTACCTCAATTAGAAGCAGAGTTGTTATGTTCCAAAGTCTTTACAACCAAATTGCTTACCGCTCCTTAGCCTAAGCAGAAAATTCTCATCATCGAACTTAGTCGAGGTAATGATATAATGAATCTATATTCGGAGTTTCATCACTCTCAATTAAAACTAAAGTTATCATGCCACAAAGCATCAACCAATCAGATTGCTTATCAAACTCTATCAAGGCATTCACCTAATGAACGCCTACACCAAGTTTGAATCGCAATTGTATAGATGTAGGTACATATTACTTACCGTCATACAGCCGAGGAATTTGCCGAGGTTTGCCGAGTGCATTATCAAACTTAGTCAAGGTATTGATGTAATGAAACTATACACCAAGTTCCGCATCACAATTGTATAGGCGTAGGTACATATCACTTACCGTCATACAGCCGAGGCTATATGTAGAGTAATGCCAAGTGCATTATCAAACTTATTCAAGGTATTGACGTAATGAAACTATACACCAAGTTTCATCACTCTCACTTAATTAGAACTTAAGTTATTGTGTCCCAAAGTATCAAATAATGAAATTGCTTATCTCTGCTTACCCTAAGCAGAAAATCTTCATCTTCGAACTCCATCAAGGCATTGACCTAATAAACACCTACACCAAGTTTGAACATTCTAGCTCAATTAGAAGGTGAGTTATTGTGTCCCAAAAAGTGTGACGGACAGACAGACAGATGAACCCATTTTAATAGTCCCCTGCTTTCCTTGAAAGGCGAGGGACAAAAGTAAAACATTTTCATTGACCACCACCCACTCATATTTCCAAATTAAAAAAAAGCAAGAATCGATTCACCTTTTTATAATAGTCTACATACGAGATCTCGTCACCATTGTGTAGTTTGAATTTGTGACTAGGACGTTTTTCCCAATCAATGTCATCAACTCTGTAAGTTTTGTTGTTGTATCTGTTACATAATAAAATTACATTATAATAATTATAATTTTATAAACATGTTCTTTCACAGTGACAGATGACTTTTATTCAATATCAATCACATGATGCTCATAATAGCAAATGGCAATAATCTTCATATTTTCAATCTGAGGAAAAAAGGTATTGGTATGTCAATCCAATCTGAACAAATGAAATGAAATGGGGTTTAACGTCCCACTGTTCTGCTGCTAACCTGGGCTAATGAAGACGGGCATACGCCATACAGTGTGCTATGAGGGAAATTTTGCCCGGGCAGCGGCGCTACGGCCTACTCTTATACCGAATTCCAACTGCCAAGGGATTTTTTACGTGCACGCCAATGTGTACACGGGACCTCGGTTTTCTTGTCCCTAGACAGCTGTCCTTGTCAGGCCCTCTATCCTGCATCACTGACAAGGGGAAACCACACCGGAAAATCTGAATGAACTTTCTTGGCCAATGCAGGGATCGAACACCCGACCTCCAGGCTAGCGAGCCAGCGTCTTACCCACTTAGCCACGTGATCCCCAAATCTGAACAAGACAATGATCTTTAGGTGCATAATTGCAGCAAATCAAATGTGGTTTAACATCATATTTAAAGGCTAGCACCATCAGGATTAATGGAGAAAGACATACACCATATGTATAAGGGAAATCTGCCCAATGTCATCACTGTCGACGAGCGATATCGCTTTGTTTTCAATATTCATTCCCAGCACATAACAGGTTTTGTTGTATCTTAAGTTCAAAAGTTTTCTATTATAAATTGTCATTTAAATGTCAAACTGCTTATTATATTTAACTACAAGTAGACAAAACTAGGAAAATATTTGAATCGACATATGAATAAAAGAAAAGATAAATCATTTACCTGGTGAGTACAATGGAACCTACTAAAGCTTTAAAGGCTCGGTCATAAAAACTTCCCTGTCCTCTTTGATCATCATATATACTATACATAATATCTAGGACGGAATCTGTTCTCAGAATTTTATGTGCAATGTCAGCTCCTAACAATATTTCATTTTCATACTGTAAGATACTGGTAGCAAAACCTGGCATCACACTCAATCTGTAAAATATATCATTTAATTGTTATCTAAATTCAATTTAGCTAATTACACAAAACTACAAGAGATACTTAACTCATTTGCTAATATATCTAACAAATCTAATCTTTAACTATAGGTTGCTACACAATGAAACATGCTCACAAACAGTTAAGTTGTCATAACATATCAGGCCATGAAATTTCATATTTTGGCTTAACCAGAAAAATGGTTGCAGTTTATGCTCTGCTTAACCATTTTCTTTGGTTACGCCAGATGAACATTGCGTAACCAATTGGTTACATAAAATGGTTGCGAAATTTCATGTCTTATCCAGATTTAAATGGTTCTTATTCATTTCCACTTGCAGTAAATGTATTTACATTCTTTTATATTTAATATTATATTTCAAGGTTAAGTGTTAATGACTTTAATCTCACGGTGTCACCATTTAAACATTAGAAAAATTTGTTCCACTTCACTAAATCCCTATATTTTAATAATTCTTTTATCAATTATCAAACATCAAGCGACTGAAGCCAACTATAATCAGACGATTAAGATCTGTGATGTACATAAATGGCTACTCAGTTAACTGGTCACGGTTCGGTTGCAAAGGTGAATCGGTTCCAAAATTACTAATGAATTTTTGTTTTTAAATCATATCTGACCTTCAAAACCCAGGAATGGTAGCTACCACATTGTTTTCAGTCACTGAGGACCGGAGGATTCAAAGAAAACCCATGAGGTTGGACGGGCAAAACTACTCCTTGTTGACTCAATAACAGACCTTACGATACAACACGCACATGCTAACCATTCGGACATCAAATCCCCCCATACAACATCTGAAGCCAAAATAAATCCTGCAATAGGAAGATTTAGCCCTTAAATAATGCATCTTTAACATGAGCAGAAAATGTGTTTACTTACTTGTGTTGTGGAATGTCTACTGCTAACTTAGGATTAAAGTAATGACGTCCAATTTCTTTCATCTCAATGGCAGATAGGAGTCTGAAATTGTTAACAATAACCTGTTAAACTTAAATAACTCAATTAAATCAACCTGTCCATAATATCATTGGACGTTAAATTTGTAATTAAACATTAGACTTAAAAAAGCTTGGTAACCACAGTTGGACAAATAAAGTTAGCTTCTTAAAGACATTTCCTGGAAATGAACTTGAATATATTTCCTAGAACCGGTAGTGTGCAAAGCCTGGTCCTACCCTTCCAAGGCCGAGATTATCAGACTTGTGTACATACAACATCAGGCCTTCACGTGAATAAGTTCCTGGAGAGTCAAAAAAAGCTCTCCTGAAATTGGAAAAAAGGTAAATCGCTGTCCTGAATCTCTTGAGGAGAGCTTTTTTAGCATTTGTGACAAGTACAGGGATTTTAATCCATTTTGATACCAACCGGCCAAAATTGGGTCAAATGAGGTCCTGGTAGGAAATAGGGTTATTAGAAGCTCCCGTTAACTTTAATATAACCAGACATAAAACAAAAATAATTTTTGGTAATTTGTTATGGAGAATGTTGTATTCTCAATAGGCTAAGTTGTCAGTAATATTCCTGAATAAATTACTGTCTTGTTTATTCGTGGGATAAACGGATATCATCAGTCAACCTAAATTAGGATTTTTCTACTACGGCTAGTATCAGAAAAGGCAGTAGCCAAGTAAGCCGATACGAAACCATGGCATTTCTTCATATAAAACACAAATTATTGTTTTTGTCTATCACATAACTTGCAAAGTTTTTATTCATTCGTGGATGATAGACAAGCGGCACAATGATCATGTGACAACCATAATTGAAATTGTTTTATATAAAATAAAATTCTGTACAACTATGTCATACATTTAAATGACAATATTTAAAAAAATATCTCCCTGTCAGCATGTGTATAAAATAAAACTAAAACGATATTTAAAACTAAATCTAGCAATGCTGGTTTATTGACCTAATTCCAACTGATGCATCGGGAACCAGAAAGCATTGGAGATCCTGACGGTAAAATATATTATTACTGTCTGTTTCTCAGGATATCCGGTGTTCTATCAGGGATTATTCAATGACTATTTAAATTTATCTAGCAACGGATGAGTGAAACCATAAAATGTAGTATCCAATTATTATTTTAATATCCACCTGAAATTCATACGGATCGAGCGTTATGAATAACCAGCAAGCTTGTTTTATTTTTTTATCGGATTATCAAAATTAACGTTACATGTGCCAATTACTCGGATTATGAACCAGATGACTGTTATTGTAGCCGACAAGCAAGTTGATTGTCGATATTCACAGTATTTTTTAACATTACAAGTATATTTTTCCTAATTATTTTCTTTGACAGGAGTCAATTTTCACATTGAGGCGAGCGATAAAAAGCGCACATCGAATGATATATCCAGGCGCGTCCAGGAGGGTGAGAGCGCTCCTTTTACGTGAAGGCCTGCAGCATAGCATTAATGCCAGAACAAATGCCCAGCCTGCAACATAGCATTAATGCCAGAACAAATGCCCAATGACCGAATTTTTTATCTTGAATGAAGATAATATAAATTGGATATAAATTGGGGGCCTCTCTAAAAGACCTACTCATCAATTTCGTTTTGGTTTGAATGTAACCACAATTCAGATAACCCTTAAATCAGCAAGGCAAGTGTGCAGACGTTGGCTTGGCTTCCAATCTGTGAAACTATTTTATCTAATAACCCTGTTTGCTACAAGTGTAAATGTAATTTGTAGATACTTTCTTATATTTCTGTCTAGTCAAAGTCCAATATATAAATGTATAATAAAACTGACCTCCTGAATATGATATTAACAACCTGTAGAAATTGTGGACTAGATGGAGGTAATTCATTAGTTAACGTGATAGTAATCTGTATCTTTGTATCATCAAAATTTCTCTTACTGTATACTGTTGTCACCTACAAAACAAGCCAACAGTGAGGCTGATGTCCCCCGCCAAAATCCCAAAGTAAACACATGACACATTAATCAATTTTTAGATTTATCCTTTTCAAAAGTATTGAGTAATCAAATGAAATGAAATGAAATGAAATGGGGTTTAAAGTCCTACTGTTTTGCTCCGAACTGGGCTAATGAAGACGGGATTGAGTAATCAAACTGATTATCTATGCTTTGTCTAAGCTTACCAGCAGCTGCAAGGCAGGATACGCCCACATTTTCCAAGAAATGGATAGAGAACAAGCTATAAACGTGATTTTTTGTTGTCGGGCGAAATAATCCCGAAATTTATGGTCTGAAATGCGCAAATATCAAAAGGGACCGAGATCTTTGGGATATAAAGATATATTTTGAGTTCCATCAAAATCAGATAAAAATTGTGATTTCTAGAGGGTCCACAACCATCGTATTACATACTTTTAAACAATTTGCGTACAGTACAAAGAGGGGCCATTTTGTCGGGCATTTCATTACTATTTTCCCGAAATTCGAATTCAACCTTCATTATGGTCAGTGACCGCCCTAGACTCTTAAAACCTTTAGCCAAATCAAATTTTTTTTAGCCAATTCAGAATGTTTAAGCCAAATATTTTATATCATTTTTTTCATATGTTTGTTAATTAAAAATGAAAATAAATGTTTAATATGTACTTGTAGTACACAAGAATATTATTTTATCTCCTTGTCCATGCAAAAGTTCACATTATTGAGAGAATGAGTGCAGATAACAAAAAAATGTTTATAGGACGTACTTCACAATCACATGATTTAATTTACTTCATCGTCATAACAGAAAAGACACGATTCTTTTTAAGACACCACTGATCAAATGCTCTGACAAATTCAAAATTTATGCATTCCGGTCCATCCATTTTTATACGCACGAGGTCATTGAGGGTTAGCTCGACGGCCTCGGTTAAGGTCTAATTTTTGTCCACATGTTGATGAAGCCAACGAAGGACTTGCGTCCGAGATGACACTCTCACTCACGGAAGTAGTTTCTGGACTAACGGTAGTCGTAGGAAGGAAAAAGGAATCTATCCTTATTTTGGGTTTACTAGTATTAGTTGTCATTATTGTGCATTTTATTTATTTGCTGTGCAAGTAAAGAAAACTTGGAGTGAAGCGAATGTAACCAACGCAGTGCCACACAAAAGGGGCGTAATTTTACAGTCTCGAGACTCGATCTTTCGGTCGTTTACGCTATAACATTGACTGATTTGCGACTTGTAAGATTGAGACTAGAGTACTTAATGTACTAAAAATAGACGCTCCATCGAGTCGATCGAAAGAAGCGTTTTCAAATTTAATATTAGCAGATTTACGAAATAACACTCTCTAAAATTCATTCGCCAAATTTTTCGCCATTATCATCAATTTATTCGCCAATAAAAATAATTGTCGCCATTGGCGAATGTCTAGGGCGGTCACTGTATGGTGGAATGGTAATATATTTTAACTATATTTAATATAGTTTCATCAAAATAGTGACCTCTGGAGGGTCCACAACATTGATACCAGATGTTCACACTATTTGCGTACAAGGGGTGGCCATTATGTCTGGCAGTTTTGGTCCGTTTTTCACAAAATTCAAACTCAACCATAATTGCGGTGCAACGGTGATATATTTAAAAGGTTTTTTTAAATCGGATAATAATTGTGACCTCTAGAGGAACCACAAGCTAAACACGTGATTTTATTCGTACAATCAGGGGCTATAATTCAGAAAGTTACGATCCGATGTGCGCGAATATCGAATGGAACCAAGATCTTTGGGTTATATACATGTATTTCAAGTTTCATCCAAATTGTGACATCGAGTGTCCAAATGCTAAAAACATGATTTTTTGTACAATCAGGGGCCATAATCCATGAAATTATGGTCCGATACATGGCAATATCAAAAGGAACCGAGATCTTTGGGAGATAGACCTATATCTTAAGTTTTGTCAAAATCGGATAAAAATTGTGACCTGTACGGTGTCCACAAACAAATTGTGGCTTGACGGGCGACTGCATACACTGTAACCCAGGTATCATTTAATCTTGTGTATCTAGCACTAATTTCTTTCACATTCGTTTAATATCCCATCTTTGTTTAAAAATTAATAAAAACTGTTTAAAATCACCATAAATCATTTAATTTGTACTTCTGTCCAGTTTAAAACTGACCATTCTATTTTGATAATGAGTCAGTGTCCAATTTACAAGTGTTTAATTTCTCAATCACTGTTAAAAAATAAACAACCCAATTGATTAATGATCTATAATGGTTACTGTCTGAGTCTTGGTAAATTTTAAACGGATTTCTTCGATTATGAACAAACTACTTAACTTTGGTTATTATAAACTTACCTGTGTGTTTGTAATGAACTCCCGTTCGATAAAATCCATTGCACAACTAATTATCACAACGATGAAAACAAGTTCTCTCTTGAAAAATTGAAATATCACAAACTTTTCCCAGAGAAAAATACCAATATGGAAGATGGTTACGTCACTCTGCGGAAGATATCATTTCGTATTAGGGGTGACAGCATAGGAAATTCAAGTACAATTACGACAAGAATCCATGACCACTCGGACCAAAGACCACTCGGTTCAAGACCAGTCGGACCAACTGATAGACCACTCAGCCCAAACAAATAGACTACCCGGACCATACAAAAAGACTATTCGGACCCAACAGAAAGACGACTCGGACCAATAATAAAGTGTTGTTTTAATAAATTGATAATTGCGTTTGTTTTAAAGGGACAATAACACTCTTGCTGGCTTGAAAGCTCCAGAAAATAAATAATATCTCTATCTAAGTACTAGATGTTTAAGTGTCTTACCTGTTGTGTAAATTATCCATTACATCCTATTTTACTTGTCCAGAGGGTTCGAAAATATTTTTAAATCGAAGTTTCATTTGAAAACGTTTATGTTAGACGTTTCAAACCATTATGTTGAATATTTCAAAATTTTTAAAAAAGGTGTGTTAAGATGAAATTTGTATCATCAATAAATTGAAATATTCTAAAATAGTACAATTTGTTGACCAGAATAAAGATTGGGACATATTATTCAGTTACAACAAGAGTGGTATTGAGCCTTTAATATGATTACTCGAACCAATAATAAAGTGTTATTTTAATAAATTGATAATTGTGTTTATCTTAATATGACTACTCGAACCAATAATAAAGTGTTATTTGAATAAATTGCTAATTGTGTGTGTTTTAATATGACTACTCGAACTAATAATAACATGTTGTTTGAATAAATTGATAATTGTATTCCAAATCGCAAAATATCGAGAACCACACTTGTAGTCACGTTTAAAAAGGGGCATATAAACGTCCGGTCTTCGTATTATTATGTGCTGTTTATATTAACGCATCAAGGGCGGATAACTTGAAAACGTGTCCCCCCCCCCCATATATAGTAACCCAGGGGTTAGTGGGGTTGAACGGAATGAAACCACTGGGGATACCGCGAATGTGGAAAAAGTAAAATTAGGCTATCAGACAAGAACAGTATACCCGTATATGTAGAAACTGTCAAAAGTCTGGACATACCGAGTCTCATTGCAAGAGTAAATAAGAAAAATTAGATTGATATTTTTTTTGGCACCATTATTAATTAATTTTAAAACTAATCGTTGATTTATTTTCCGTACACAAAATTGAACTAAACAACTCTAAATATAAGAATTCCGTATAAGAATTATTTGCTTCTTTGTATTGTGATTTAATAATAAATAAATAGCATATTGTCTAGCCTTATAATATAATTTAATTGGTCCGACTGGTCTTGTTTTGCCCCGACTGGTCTAAGTCCGAGTAGTCTTTAGTCCGAGTGGTCTGGATACCTACGACAATTGGCATTGAGTTTGAGCGTTCGCACACATAACTACCCGCATTCCTGTATTTAGTTACCGTCTTTAACATTCTAGTAAAATCTCTGCAAATTTTATAGCTTTACTTTTTGAAATATTTTGTTGTAATTATTTGATTAGCGACTCGGATGGGATTATTTACTTTTGAACACGCATGCCGCACAAACACAACTATACATTCGTTTTACGGGCTTTATCACACTTCGGTCAAAACTGTCATACGGGCTTAGTAGCATTATATACCATTATATATGTTACTGAAGCGGTTATTATTCGATCGAAAGAATGCGTATTAAATTAAAAATACACTCCGAGAATTCGGAGGTAAGCTTCATGATCCTTGTTAAATTATTTATAACATAAAGAAGTATAATAACAGACAGCTTTATGGATGACATTCACTAGGTTTATTAACTGCAACGTTTCAATGAGGTTACTCTCACCGTTATCAAGCAATGATAACGGTGAGAGTAACCTCATTGAAACGTTGCAGTTAATAAACCTAGTGGTATCATTGCTTGATAACTGTGAGAGCAACCTCATTGAAACGTTGCAGTTAATAAACCTAGTGAATGTCATCCATAAAGCTGTCTGTTATTATATATCACTTTCACTAAATGCCTTTCAAAGACAACATAAAGAAGATAGGATATTTATAGTTTATACATGACTTTATTTTTACGAGTATCCGTGCAATCAGTGATATTTTAATTGTGAAGAAAATTTGATAGACTGGCGATCAATGGTTTCCATATAAATCTCCTATGTAATTGCCTTCAATTGATATTTTTCGTCGCCTAAACCCATATACGATCAAAATGATCGCGCTGTCAAACTATCTTTCAATGTTAACCAACCCCCGCAACAGGTATATTGGATTCGACCAATACGTCACGAAGACATAGTTGACATCGACTCTGTCGAAATTACAAGTAAATTTTCAAATTTTTCAAGAGAGAACTTGTTCTCATCGTTGTGATAATTAGTTGTGCAATGGATTTTATCGAACGGGAGTTCATTACAAACACACAGGTAAGTTTATAATAACCAAAGTTAAGTAGTTTGTGCATAATCAAAGAAATCCGTTTAAAATTTACGATGGTTCACACAGTAATTTTTGAACAGTGGTCAGGAAATTAAATACTTGTAAATTGAACACTCATTATCATTAATGAAATTAAGGTCCGATACATGGCAATATCGAAAGGAACCGAGATCTTTGAGAGATAGACCTATATTTTAAGTTTTGTCAAAATCGGATAAAAATTGGGACCTGTAGAGTGTCCACAAACAAATTGTGGACGGACGGACAGAAATGAAATGAAATGGAGTTTAACGTCCTACTGTTCTGCTCCTAACCTGGGCTAATGAAGACGGGCATACGCCATACAGTGTGCTATGAGGGAAATTTTGCCCGGGCAGCGGCACTACGGCCTACTCTTATATCAAATTCCAACTGCCAAGGGATCTTTTACGTGCACGCCAATGTGTACACGGGACCTCGTTTTTTTGTCCCATCCGAACGACTAGACAGCTTTCCTTGTCAGCCCCTCCGTCCTGCATCACTGACAAGGGAGAACCACGCCGGAAAATCACGGACGGACAGGGGCAACTACTAGTGTTGAAACTACTATTCGAATATTCGTCAACAGATACAAAATAGGGGTTATTCGAATCATTTTACTATCCGTTTACTATTCGTTACAATATATTCTGACATTCCGTATGCTCTATATTTAGCCATTTTTACGTCTGATCACTTTGAAATTTTCCCCAATGCAATTGATCACGTACGCAGCTCCATGAGCATAAATGTCAACATTATGCATATTATTTAGTGATAGTAACTAATAAAATTATTAATGCAGTGCAACGAAAACAGTAGTCTAAATAAAAAAAATATTCATTCCCTGCGCTAGTTTACGGCATATGAGTTTAGACCGTGTTTTGACTGAAATTTATTCATAACGACCTAGGTCACGTATATTCCCACTCATTGATTGGTTCAATAGTAGTAGATTATCAGAATGAGGCAAACGACCTTGCCGGAATAAATGGCACATGGTTTTATTTTACTTTTTTCATTCGTGTTGATTGAGCAAAATGATAAGTGGGAGGGTGCGGATAACAGGTGTAGTTATACTATACAAATTCCTTCACCTCATTGATTTTTTGGGATGTCAGACCGATGTCATAGATAGTCTTAATAATTACGGCTAAAGGTAGGCACGTTTTTTTCTTCGCGGCTCAAACAATTTGCAAATCGAAAGTACGATTTCATACTCAGCATACAGACACTCATAAACATTAAAACAAGTAAGAAATTATGAGTACCGGTATATGAACTTTTGATGTAATTGTGTTCAATAATTTCACGTCTCCGAATAGCCAACAAAAGTATTTGGATCACAAATTTCGATCCGATTTTCAACACTAGCAACTACATAATACATACACATGAAAATGTGGGCGAATAAAAATATTCACGATCTATCTTAGGTTTTGAAGTTCATGGTAGTGAAACTATACACTAAGTTTCATCACTTTCTATCAGTTAGAATCAACGATATCTGGTCCCAAAGTATCAACAAATGAAATTGCATACCTCTACTTAACTTTTAACAGGAAATATTAATCATTGAACTCAGTCAAAACATTTGCCTAATGTCTTCAAAAGAAGGGGGGAAAATGAAAGAAAATATACGTTTAGTGCAGTAGCCGTGTAGCTGGGTCATCATCGTACTGTCAGTACTCGGTAGATACGCACATGCAGTTCTTGTAGCAAATAATGCCTACAGTATAACATATGCTATTTTTAAATAATATATCTTGTTCAACCTGAAAAAAATTATTAATTTTTCGAACCATTATTATTTTTATGCTTTTTAATAAAGCAGTCTAAATTTCCCTGCTTTCGCTTCCTTGTGTTATTCTCAGTTACAGCCATTTTGACAGTCTTGATTATCATGACTTCAAAAATGAGAACTCTTAATCGGGTATATGGTTTCCCTTTATTTTAAGATTTCCCGACTCCATTTAACTATGCCCAAGGCGTGCTTGGCGTTCAGGGCTCTTATTCACGAAAACTTAAACTAAGTTACAACCGAAATTTTAAGAAATACTGCAACTTCATTGGATATATGCAAATTGATTTTACTGGTCAGCCAATCGAATTGCAGTATTTCTTAAAATTTCGATTGTCTCTTAGTTTAAGTTTTCGTGAATCAGGGCCCTTGAATTAAATTAGTTTAAATTAATATTACGCAAAATTATTCAATTAAGATTCAATTACTGATCGCTGGAAATTGGCCAAATTTAAACAGCGAAATTTGCTGGTTTCTGGCTTTTAATCTGATGGGGGCGCATAAAAATGTAATAAAAATTACTGAAAAAACCTAATAGATCGTTTTAATTTATTTTGGAGGAGAAAATATATGGTTAAAGGAGCTAAATCGCTAACATTTGGGACCTAGAAATTGAGAAAAGTGGGTCGCAACGTATATAATATAATACTGTAATATGAATGTATATAAACTGATTTACATTCAATGGTTTCCGTTTTTACTCTAATTTCAAATCAGTTATGATCGGCGAAATAAGCCAGCAGTCTCAAGCGAGTGAAAATTTCTAGCATCTGGTTATTCCAGTCTACATACGCCTTTTGATTTGGTGCAATGTTTATTTTGTCTTAAATATTGTATATCAAAAGCCCATCCTTTTCCGGTAAGATCACAACATGAATGTTGATTTAATTTGACAAATAAATCGTGTTTTCAATGTTGAAGATTTTGGATGATATTGAGATAGAGACTTAGCTACTTTAATAAATAAACATTACCTTTTCTTGTAATTTTCTGGGTAGATATAGAATTCCACCATCAAATGCTTTAACTGTGCCTAAAAGTTCTTCATGTGTAAACAGTAATGCAGCCTTTAATTTACGACTGTCAATAGTTGGGTTAAAATCAACTTGATATTGATACAAAGCTACAAACTTTGGTGTCATCTGAAGTTGGAAAAAGTTGGCCAGAAGTTGAATAGGTCGACCAGCAGTACCTGAAACAGAGAAGTCAACATTGACCAATAAATATATATTTTTCAGACTGTTCCGGATCCTCATATATATGTGCCTAATATATACTTTAAATTATTTCAGTACTTCAGATCTGCGGTGCAGTCAACATTAACCCTTATCGCGAGATTTGGAATCGATATTTCACAATTCTAGTTTGTTACCAAAATTTTTTGTAATTTTGACACCCTTTTTGCTACGAAATGGCACCGATTGCCAAAGAAAATTTTTTTTTAAGAGACTCTAGCAATTAAAACTACACATTCAATTTACTCCATATTTATTTATTTATTTCATTTTCCTTACACCTGTATGGTTAATGTCTATTTTACTGTGAGCCGCAGTGGCTTAGTAACCCGAGGTCCTGTGTACGATCTCGATATGGATCGAGAAAGTGGTGTAGGACGGAGGGTTTGGACAGGGACAACATATTATAATCGGTTGGATCAGATGAAAACTGATGGCTTGTGTACACATAAAAGAACCTGGAATTCGAAATAAATATTTGCTGTAGTGCCACTATTTCCCCTCAAAGCACACTGTGCATGTATGGTGTATGCCTGTCTTCATCAGCCCAGTCGGTGCAGAACAGAAGGCCCCTAAACCCAATTTTATTTCTATTTCACATAGGCCAACCAGTTTTCATCACACTGCAACACAGATAAGCAATTTCCCTTTTAAATATACTATTCAAAAAAAGTAGGGGATATTTGATTTTGGGGGCATAATACTAAAATATTCAAATGACTACGAAAAAAGTCACTATAGAACCTAACAGAAGAAACATTTCCAGTTACATGTGACGCCCAAACGCACCAATAGCTACCGCATGGAATGCAGGTGATGCTTGGGATCATCATGGGGGTCCAACCCAAGATTTGCACGACTCTGACTTTGAATGTTACAGTCATTGTGGCATTGAATTCCAGGGTGGAAACATCAGTTTAATTGTTTTAGTGACCAGAAAACAAATTTTGACATGCGTCGGCTTACCCAAAATGAAAGGTTACGTGCCCTTGGCATGCTACAGATCGGCACAACACAGGCGGTTGTGGCGCGGACGATGAATGTTTCTCAGTCTGTCATAAGCAGGCTATGGTCCAGATACCGTGATACACAATCTGTACAGGACAGACCACGCTCAGGTCGACCAAGGGCGACAACTCAAGCCCAGGATCGATTTATCCGTACCTTGGCCTTGAGAAATCGTGTCATCACAGCAAATCAGATCAGCGCTCGTCTTCAAACAGACACTGGTGTGAGAGTGAGTGGCCAGACGATTCGGAACCGACTGCATAGGGGTCACCTTCGCGCCCGACGTCTTCGCATGATCCCTTGTTTGAGAGATCATCACATTCAGGCAAGACGTCGTTGGTGTAGGGATCGTCAACACTGGGATAATCGACGCTGGAGCAATGTGATGTTTTCAGATGAGTCAAGGTTCACTGTTGATTTTTTGGACAGACGTAGGAGGGTGTGGCGTCGTCGAAACGAGCGCTTCCAAGACGTTAACGTCATCAGACATGATCGATTTGGGGGTGGTTCTGTTATGGTGTGGGGAGGCATCACTGTTGCTCGAAGAACGGCTTTACATATTGTTGCAGGACGTGTTACAGGCCAGTACTACCGGGACAACATCTTGGCAGTCCATGTTGTGCCGTTCGCACGACGTCATGGCCGCCGTTTCATCTTCCAGGATGACAACGCAAGATGTCACAGGGCCAGGATCATTACAGGTTACCTCCAACAACAGAACATCACCACATTACCTTGGCCAGCACTGAGTCCCGACCTCTCCCCCATCGAGCATGTCTGGGACATGCTTGGACAGAGGTTACGTCAACGTCAACAACGTCCTGCCAATGTCCAAGAACTTGCTGCTGCGTTGCAACAGGAATGGGACAATCTGGACCAAAATGACCTTAGACGTCTCATTAGGAGTATGCCACGTCGGATCAATGCTTGTTTGGCAAACAGAGGAGGATTTACCCGTTACTGACTTGGTTGTGATGCTGTGGTAACTTTGCTGTTTTACCCCGGGTATCATTTTACCCTTATAATGGTCAGTCTGTGCCTTACTTAGTCTAACGATCATTTGGAATAAATCGATGAATGTGAACTTCATTTCATTTTGTCATTTGTTTCTTCGTCAGTTTCATTAGGTGACTTTAATAACACTTAAAAATCAAATATCCCCTACTTTTTTTGAATAGTATATTACGATAAAGAAGAGTTGCAAGTCACTTGCCTTTTTTGTCTGTAATATGTGCTGGTCTAGTTCTTGGATCTTGAAAACGGAATTCTGACCTCTTTCTGGGTACTTGACTGGCATCTCCAGTTCCTAATGACATACTAGCCATTTGCTCTGCAGGTACTTTAGGAATGTCACCAGCCATTCCAGGACGGGGCTCCCTTGCACCTCCCCTGTAAGATGCACGACCACTAGCAGGTGGTGGTCCCCCAGCCCCAGCAGGAGGGGGTGGCTGTACTGGTTGTGGCTAGAAACAAAAACCAGTAACAATATTTATCAAACCTTTATTTATAAATGAATTCACTGAAAACAGGGGCCTCAGGTCATGTGACTTTAGCGTAGCGTGAAATCGGACCGTCAGTCGAGTTTCAATGAACGAGTTTGAATTACTATTTCATTTAAATGTATTACTACTTCGATTTTATTGTAATACTTTAAAATCGATCTCAATATCTGTAAAGATTTAGTCTCAAGAATTATCAAAATGTAAGCTAAATTACCGGTTTTGTACCGGCGACAGTAGACAGGGAAATACCGCTTAGATGTAACATACCCAGAGATTTTCAATCAAAGCAAATTGCTATGGTTCACTGCATTGGTGAATCCTAACCAAAGGATAGATAATATTTTTGTGATTATTATGGTGCGTGATACTGTCAAAAGAAGGTTACAACAGTAGAAAACGGGATTAATCTGTTTCCATCAAGTAGCAAATTTTTTTTCTGGTATCATAAAGATTATAAATATTTAATATATTCTCATTCTTAACATTTTTATAAATTTTAGCTGTCTTAAACTTTTGAAATTGGTACAAGAGCTACTGAAGGGCAAAATATCACTTTATGACGTCACTCAGGTATCACTGAAAAGCACTTATTTTGATGCCATTGCACAGCACACGTTGACTGTTATAGAATATTATTTCGATTACATTTTAAAATTCTATAACTTTGGATCTAATTAGAATATTTTGAAGAATAAAGTTTTTTGGGTAGCATTTTATATCTATTTTCACAAAATATTCTTTAATTTTTGTTTCTGTGATTTAAAACATTTGACTTGAAACCCATATTGAAAGAAAATCAATTAAAAATTACATATTTATATTAATAGACAAAGGAGTATAGTTGACAAATATAAATACTGACAAGCAAGACCAAGTAAGAAAAACATTATGGAGGTGGTCAGTATCATCAAATCTACAGTCAAGAATCAAGCATTTCAAACCGATCAGTTTTAATTAGATGATTTCAACAATTTTGGACACAAGTTGGATAGGATTTTGAAGTAGTTTTCTTGTCTATTGTCATGGTCTTACCTCTGAACCCTGTTCTCCAGGTCTTCTTGAAGTTGCCTGGTCTGTACCACCTCGGGCTCGGCCTCTGGCCCGACCTCTTGCCTTTCCAGACATGTCTTACTTTCTATCAAATTTCAATTTATTCTTTCTTTAGTCTACTCTCTGAAATAAATAATGATTACCTACTATGTCTATCACAGAATGAAAGATATGGGGTTTAATGTCATACTTTTCTAATTGAAAATTAGACGACTGCTAACACGTTTTACAGTCATTATGGCTTGCGAGTACAGCAACTAACAAGCGGTTGCCATGCAAGATCTGCCCACATTTTGCAAGAAATGGACAAAGAAAAAAAACCCTGATTTTTCGTACAATCAGGGACTTAAATCCAACAAGTATAGAATAGAACCCAGATCTTTGGGATATAAAAATATTTTTTAAGTTTCATCAAAATCAAATAAAAATTGTGACCTCTAGACTCTAGAGGGTCCACAGCCTTGGCATTACATACTTTTACATTATTTGCATACATGTAGCAGCCATTTTGTCTGACAGTTTCGGCCCAATTTTCACAACCAATCAAAATATTACCCTGAGCAGGAAATGCTCATTATTGAACATAGTCAAGGTACTGATGTGATGAAACTATAATATACACAAAGTTTCATCACTCTCACTTAATTAGAACTAAAGTTATCGTGTCCCAAAGCAAAGCATCAACCAATCAATTGCTTATCTCTGCTTACCCTAAGCAGACAATTCTTATCTTCAAAATCTATCAAGGCATTGACCTACATGCAATAAAAACCTACACCAAGCTCAATTAGAAGGGAAAGTTATTGTGTACGGTACCAAAAAGTGTGACAGACATATGGATCGATGGACAGACGGACACACCCATTTTAATAGTGCCCAGCTTTCTTTGAAAGGAGGGGGACAAATAGACTGCATCCAATACTGCATAAATCATTTGGAATCAAACGTCTTTAGACAATATAGCGTATTTCGTTACCCCTCTTCAGCGCACACAGACACTCCCAGAATAATAATAGTTACGATAATAGTAGCGTGTGTCAACCGATAAAGGGACCTAACTCGTTTTTCTTAATGGGTTGTCACAAATATGGTGCAATTTTTTCACGAAAAGTAGGTCTTGCATTACGACCTCATGTCGGTTTCCTGCAATTGATACAGGTTCCATTCAACTGCTATTGCTATTAGTGCTCGATTTGCTACATTTAATTCATACATATGGAAAAAGGTGTCTACCTTCCTCCACAGGGATCTAGAGGTTCGCTTAAAAGGAATTGTTATATTTGCTGCATTTTTAATTTGAGAACAATGGAGGTTCATTCATCTACTTAATTGCAATTTTGTTTTCAGGCCTGTAGCTTGCCCAAAAATGTTGGGGGGGCAAGGGCTTCTGTGGGCACCAATGTACCTACACTTCACGGTCCGCAGCACTCTTCCCCCCAGAAAATTTGGGAAAATAGGGTTTGCACCTTAGGAGAGAACTATGAAAATGACGGAAAATTTCAATTTTGAGGCTGAATTTACGATATTCGCCCATTATATTTCATAACCATAAAAATTTGAAGGAAGGAATACGAATCCATACGTGGGCGCTAACCAATCTTACACCGCATTATGGGTGCCCTGCCAATTATATTATGAGCACCCACAATCTCATCGTGGGCGACCAACCAATGTCACTCGGCTTTATGGTATGGGCACGTTGGTTGTTGGCTTCTCGTATTGCGTCCAATGGAAAGGGGGCCGAAGGCTGCCCACCCCCCCTCTTGGGCCCCTGCAATCTACCATTATGTATCTACCATTACAACCTACACATATCTTCAAATAAACTACATTATTTGATTTACAATCCATATTTTGTTATTCTTTTCCACTCCTGTCAGAAATAAGACTGATTTCCTTTAATTTTATCCCAATTAAAAAAGATTAATTATAGTTTTATTGTTGATCTTAAAATAGTAAATATGATGTAGACATACAATAACAATAATACATGTAGATTAAGTGTAAAAGATTTTTGTTTGTAATGTTACGATTCATTTCCTTTTATTAAGTTTCATATTTTATTTAATACTTCTTAACTGGTCGAAGACACCATACTTCCAAGTTTGATTTTATTATTTCATCAACAGAAAACCAATTTTCAAGATCTAATGATTTTTTTTTATTATTTTGTTTCATATTGTTATTTTTATTACTTTTCTGTACAAAATATGGATTGGCGGATTTCCTTTAAATTTTGTCCAAATAAAATTTAAAACATGTTTGTCGTTGATTATATATTATTAAATGACTGTTTCTCGGTGTATTCGGTTTTCTATCAGGTGATTATATTAAATGAAGATTTAAATTTACCCAACAACTGGTCAGTGAATCCATCAATGTATGATCCGGTTATTATTTTAATATCTACTGGTACCTGGAATTCATACGAAGCGTGGAAGACGCTCGATTGGCAAACCATGCCGAGATCGTCTTCTTTCGCCACGTGGGTTTCGTGATCTTTCTTAACTGAAGAATTTTTTCAACTATACGGCAATATTACGTATCGATACAAATAACGCTGGAATGTATCGATGCATATCGGTGTATCGATATATCGCCACTGCCTTTTTGAACAGCGCATATGGCACATGGTATATCGAGGGATTTTCTTGTCGTGAAATTTCATGGCACAAAGTTTTTTTTCAGAATTCTTGTCCAATCAAAAAGTATACTGCTTGCGCCAGATTTCTAACTCAATTAGAAGACAAGATATGCCAAATTGAAGGAATAATTAAGCTTTTTAATATTACAGTATACTTCGCATAAGTTGGATCTAAGTGGACTGACCAATTTTATCCAAGTTAAGTGAGCGAAGAACTAAGTTAGCCAAAGAACAAAATTCAATCTTAGCTCGATTAGAAATAAACTGCAAGAGCCGGATAATTGATTCAAAGGCACTTTTCAAGCTTTTGTTCGTATGTGCGTGTAGACAACTTACATTTTGGTGCAAGTAGATAACTTCCGTTTTTTTGCCATCTTTGAAATATGTCCTAAATTTTCCCAGAAAGTGTCTCGTACAACAGACGAGTTTCGAATTTTCCGGGAAAATTCTATTATTGCGTCGCGTCAAATATGCTGATTTGAGTCAAAATGACAGAGGAAAGTATTTTGCGGCTCTGTGCATAGAATGCCTAACCAAGTTTTAGACCATCGGAAATGGAATTTAAAACAAATATAATGTTTCTTAGTATGTTCACTGAGCAACCAAAGATGATCAGTTTTGTACAAAATATTCAGAACCTTAAAAAAATTTTCACAAATTAATCACATTTGTGGTCTAAGGGAAGTGAACTCTGCCCGATTACCTCCCTTTGCTAAAATTGTTAATGCAACATTGAATGACCTTTCTATCACAGAAAATACTTTTAAACATGATACTTTTTGAATTTTTTTTTTAATCCAGAATCCTAAGTTTGTCTGGTCTGTTATTACTGTAATGGTTTTAGAAGTACAAATGTGTTATTTTTGAATTGCTGTTTAGATTTGCTTCAGTTTGATTTGTTTGATGACATTTGTTCAGTTTTTTGGGGGGTTTTCTAGTTTGCGATAAAACAGTTTGTGGTTGCTGGTGGCTGCCATCGTTGAATTGTGGCAGCCATCTTGGATTTCAAAATGGCCAATATCGAACAATTATTTTTTTACTTTTTTTTTTTTAGCAAGGTTTGATTCAAGAATTTTTAATGAATAAACCGTATAAACACTTATAAAATCCATATTATATTATATAATGGTGGCCATTTTGGATTCAAATATGGCTGACATTACCTAATTTACATATTTGCATCACCATGATTTTTACTTTTGGTTACATTTTGTATTAAATGTAACTGGAATTTGAATATAGTTTTGATTCCAACAATATTATGCATTTTTTGGTTTTTAATTTATTCAAAATGGTCGACCTATGTTGGGGTTTTTTTTCATCATACATTAGCCTAGTGTCAATCCGGCATGCATTGCGCCAATTTTTAGCACGATCAGATATTTTGTCCAGGTAAATTTTTATGCATTATTATTTGCTTCCGATTCATTGTTAATTCCTGAATTTTGTGCCATTGACCCCTGTGACCTTTCAGTGTATTTTTAACTGCTAATGCTATAGATTTTAAAAAATTAGACAAAAAGGAGCCTACCCTAATTCACCGAACATGGTCATAAGTATTCACATCTTGGCTTCTAATTAAGATATCTTCAATCTGCAATGTAGTCCTACGGTTTTATGCTATTTAAATTTAGCTTTATCAAATCGGCTTAGGCCTATTTATAAATAAATCCATTAATAAATGAATTTTGCATTTTTGAACATTATTATTATAGCTTTTCCAGACCAAAGTCATTGATTTAGTCAGTCAAAATATTATTTTATCATTTTTACCGTTTTTGACGAAATTTTGGGAAACGCTGCTTACCCATGGGTATTGTAAAACCAGCTAAAAATTTCAGGTCTATAGCTCAAAAATTTAATTCTTGTTGGCACATGCTACTAAAAGACGATTTGAAATTGAAGGACTCAAGGAGTACGGTAGGCCCACACCTGCCCTGGCACCCAAGTTACCAATCTATCTATTGCTTGACAAAGTCAAAAGTTAGTGACATTCTAGAATTAAGATTCCAACAAACCAAGAAACTCTTTCTCTACAAATATTCGTTGTGTAACGCCGTGTGGATGATTATTATTTAGTAATAATTATCTCAATTCCTCTAGCTGAGTGATATGAATTCACATTCCAAACACAGTATCTTGCCTCGTGGTTAATGAGTGACCCCAGGATGCATTGTTCCGCGCTTGTTCTTCCCCATCAGCCAATCGGGTGTTGGTAAAAAGAAAAAAGAAAAAAAAATCCGTTCTTGTTTTTCTAATCTCAACGTTTACTTTCAGTTTTAAAGGCAGATCACAGTGGTCAAAATACGCAGTATTTTATTTTTAAAAAGGTTGTAGGGGCATGTAATACGGATTGGCCTGCCGGAAAAAAAACCCATCTTGAAATGAATAATTGGTTATGCGCGTACGGTAATTATAAAAGCAGAAATATATTCTTCTCAAAATGGACACAGAATTGGCATTTAAAATTTAATTGCTATTGCATTTAACTTAATTTGGGCAACGGAATGAAAATAAAATTAATCCAATTAGAATTTAATGACATCAGCATTTATACAGTCAACTCAAACGTTAAAGTGTAGGCCTAATAAAGCACAAACAAAAATATATGACTGAGAAAGAAACTAGTTTAAAGGGTAAAAAGCCCTTTTTTTTATATTTAATTAAAAAACGTTTATAAAACGTTCAAATTAACATGTCCAAGAACGTTTTTAAGAAGTTTATTTTATGTTTTGTGAAATGTTTTTTTACAACGATGTTTTAATGTTTCTATTACGTTAGAAAAAACGTTTAGCCAAAACGTTTTAGAAACGTTACAACGAGTTTACAATTTGGGGGGTTTTAAACGTTGAAAATAAACGTTTTGAAAACCTAACTGAAACGTTTTTAATACGTTTAAAAGATGTTTAATTGTTTGCTGGGAAGACCCAATTACAGGCGACAATGCCGTCAGTTTGTCAATCGTGGTTGCTAGGCCTAATGCAAAAAGTGACTGACTAGTATATAGAGAGCTTGACCTTAGGCTACCATAATCACCGTAGGCCTACATTATAGCCTACCCGTACACGGTGCATATCTCCCGTTCGTGTTCCAAAATTCGTTAAATACTGTAAAATACTAAATGAAAATAGCAATTATAATTGAAGTAATTTATTAACTGAATTCTATCAGGAAGACTTAAAAATCTCGTAAACAAATCCAAAACTCGATCTCCTGGTAGTCCTAGGCTATGCGGCTCTCCATAATATCCTCGAAAGATATGCCATTTCTCCAATAATATAAAAAAAAAGTACGTCGATCGTTGGCCTAGCAATCCGATAAATCAGGTAGGGCGACGAACACTTTTTTTCATGTGATTGACCCTAATGGGCTTCTCCGTATCTTGTAGTTGTAATGCCCTTGTCTGTCCGGACATCCATTTATCCTTGTTTGTAGCCTACAGGTCATCCGATTTTGATGAAACTTGAAATATAAGTTTATCTCCCAGGGGCGGATCTAGGTATTTTGAAAAGGGTAGGGGGGGGCTGCAAAATGGGGGCACTGACCGCGGAGACAGGGCACGCCGCTGAGAGGGGATTTTTTTTTTTTTTTGGGGGGGGTGGGGGAAGGGTCCCCAAGAAAATTATCCGTCATTTCCTTGCATCTGCTATAGCCATTCCAAGAGCTATTTAGCTGATATTTTCGTCTAAGTAAACGTTCGGAAATCATTGAAAAATAGCCAGTTGAACATGCGACTCGAAAATTTTCAAGGCGAGCGAGGCATTATGATGGGAAAAAAGACGAATCTATTCCCTAGCCACTTCACTATTTAAGCCTTGTAACTTGTACTTTGTACTGTCCGCACATGAAACAATGCTACATCAAGTTGCACTCATGTGCGTCGGTGTTGGGCATGAGTGTATATACGCCGCCGATTCCACAAGATGTCTGTCTATAGCCACTCTATAGGATTAGGGCACCGCCAGCTAAACAACAAGAATTCGTTTGAAAGTGAAAGCATTAATTAGACCAGACTGGTGTGTTTGAATCGATGGTTTGAGTCATTTGGGATCCCTGCAACGGGTTGGGAACGGACATATTTGGGTCTGAGAAAGGGCACTTTCAGCAGTAATAAAGGACACTGTCAAAAATAAGGGGGGGGGGGTGCGCCCCTTGCGCCCCTCCCCTTAAATCCGCCTCTGTCTCCCACAGATCTTGGTTCTTTTCGAAATTGGCATGCATCGAACCGTAACTTCGTGGATTATGGCCCCCGTTTGTCGCAATTTTTATCCAATTGAACTAAAAGATCTTGGCTCCTTTCGATATTCGCGCATATCGGACCTTAACTTCTTGGATTATAGTCCATGATTGTACGAAAAGTCGCATTTTTAGCTTGTACTCCCTCTAGAAGTCACAATTATTATCCGATTTAAAAAAAAAACCCAACAATTTAAACCCGTTTAATAATTTTTGATTGGGAAATATAAAATGAAATGAAATGGAGTACACGGGACATCGGTTTTTTGTCCAACCCGGACAACTATACGTTCTCCCTTGCCAGACCATTTACTGAGCGATCGTGACCCCCGAATAATAGGCTTGGATCCCAAGTCCACAGGTAAAATGATAGGTCGTTTTCAAAAATACAGAACAGCAACTGCAATGGCCCTGTTAAAGTTAGGTGTGATGTATTCTTTAAATGGTGGTTAATAAGGTTGACAGTGTGATGGTTCGCAACGCATATAATAAGAGAGACTTTTGGCAAGCGTAAATTTCTGGGGGCAGTTTCACAAAAGTTCGTAACTTTAAGAAAAAAAACTACGTTAAGAAAAACTTACGAAAAAGATACGAATTATTTACACCGGTTTCACAAAGGCCGGTGTAAGTTTTTTCTTAACTTTTTCTCGTATCTTTTTTCGTAAATACGTCACGAATTGGTTATGCGCGTACGGTAATTATAAAAGCAGAAATATATTCTTCTCAAAATGGACACAGAATTGGCATTTAAAATTTAATTGCTATTGCATTTAACTTAATTTGGGCAACGGAATGAAAATAAAATTAATCCAATTAGAATTTAATGACATCAGCATTTACAGTCAACTCAAACGTTAAAGTGTAGGCCTAATAAAGCACAAACAAAAATATATGACTGAGAAAGAAACTAGTTTAAAGGGTAAAAAGCCCTTTTTTTATATTTAATTAAAAAACGTTTATAAAACGTTCAAATTAACATGTCCAAGAACGTTTTTAAGAAGTTTATTTTATGTTTTGTGAAATGTTTTTTTACAACGTTGTTTTAATGTTTCTATTACGTTAGAAAAAAAGTTTAGCCAAAACGTTTTAGAAACGTTACAACGAGTCCACAATTTGGGGGGTTTTAAACGTTGAAAATAAACGTTTTGAAAACCTAACTGAAACGTTTTTAATACGTTTAAAAGATGTTTAATTGTTTGCTGGGAAGACCCAATTACAGGCGACAATGCCGTCAGTTTGTCAATCGTGGTTGCTAGGCCTAATGCAAAAAGTGACTGACTAGTATATAGAGAGCTTGACCTTAGGCTACCATAATCACCGTAGGCCTACATTATAGCCTACCCGTACACGGTGCATATCTCCCGTTCGTGTTCAAAAAATCGTTAAATACTGTAAAAGACTAAATGAAAATAGCAATTATAATTGAAGTAATTTATTAACTGAATTCTATCAGGAAGACTTAAAAATCTCGTAAACAAATCCAAAACTCGATCTCCTGGTAGGCCTAGGCTATGCGGCTCTCCATAATATCCTCGAAAGATATGCCATTTCTCCAATAATATAAAAAAAAGTACGTCGATCGTTGGCCTAGCAATCCGATAAATCAGGTAGGGCGACGAACACTTTTTTCATGTGATTGACCCTAATGGGCTTCTCCGTATCTTGTAGTTGTAATGCCCTTGTCTGTCCGGACATCCATTCTTCCTTGTGTGTAGCCTACAGGTCATCCGATTTTGATGAAACTTGAAATATAAGTTTATCTCCCAGGGGCGGATCTAGGAATTTTAAAAAGGGGGGGGGGGGCGCAAAATGGGGGCACTGACCGCGGAGACGGGGCACGCCGCTGAGAGGGGATTTTTTTTTTTTTTTTGGGGGGGGGGGGGAGGGTCCCCAAGAAAATTATCCGTCATTTCCTTGCATCTGCTATAGCCATTCCAAGAGCTATTTGGCTGATATTTTCGTCTAAGTAAACGTTCGGAAATCATTGAAAAATAGCCTTAAAATCGAGCAAAAAAGCCAGTTGAACATGCGACTCGAAAATTGTCAAGGCGAGCGAGGCATTATGATGGGAAAAAAGACGAATCTATTCCCTAGCCACTTCACTATTTAAGCCTTGTAACTTGTACTGTCCACACATGAAACAATGCTACGTCAAGTTGCACTCATGTGCGTCGGTGTTGGGCATGAGTGTATACGCCGCCGATTCCACAAGATGTCTGTCTATAGCCACTCTATAGGATTAGGGCACCGCCAGCTAAACAACAAGAATTCGTTTGAAAGTGAAAGCATTAATTAGACCAGACTGGTGTGTTTGAATCGATGGTTTGAGTCATTTGGGATCCCTGCAACGGGTTGGGAACAGACATATTTGGGTCTGAGAAAGGGCACTTTCAGCAGTAAAAAAGGGCACTGTCGAAAATAAGGGGGGGTGCGCGCCCCTTGCGCCCCCCCCCCCTTAAATCCGCCTCTGTCTCCCACAGATCTTGGTTCTTTTCGAAATTGGCATGCATCGAACCGTAACTTCATGGATTATGGCCCCCGTTTGTCACAATTTTTATCCAATTGAACTAAAAGATCTTGGCTCCTTTCGATATTCGCGCATATCGGACCTTAACTTCTTGGATTATAGTCCATGATTGTACGAAAAGTCGCGTTTTTAGCTTGTACTCCCTCTAGAAGTCACAATTATTATCCGATTTAAAAAAAAAAACAATTTAAACCCGTTTAATAATTTGTGATTGGGAAATATAAAATGAAATGAAATGGAGTTCACGGGACATCGGTTTTTTGTCCAACCCGGACAATTACTATACGTTCTCCCTTGCCAGACCATTTACTGAGCGATCGTGACCCCTGAATAATAGGCTTGGATCCCAAGTCCACAGGTAAAATGATAGGTCGTTTTCAAAAATA